CAAGGAGTAACCCATCATCACCCATTGGGCCTTTTCTTTTCCACTTGGAATATTTATTGTGGGGTTTATGACAGTTGAAACACTGATGCATACTCGCTCAATTATAAGTATTGGGCCAAGATCTAAATTTTCATGCCTATACCCTAGGAAGCACCGACACTTCAATAACTTTGGCGTGTCGTGTCTGACACTTCTCGACACTCTCCGACACTCCACACTCCCCGACACTTCAACACGCGTTATAGAAATTCAAAAAAAGATCAAAGGTTGCGTTACGTTAAGTTTTTAGTTCCAACTATTAGATTCGTTGGATTACGATTACTATTTTATTGAGTTTAATATAAATATATGGGATATCTTATGTTTCTTTGCAAAATTGATGAATATTATAAGTTTAGTTTTATTTTTTATTAAATTATTGAATATTAAATATAATATACCACTACATAAATTAAAAATATTATTTAATATCAAAACGTGTCCTAACGTGTCGAAATCTAACATTTTTTAGAATTAACGTGTCGGAGTATCGTGTCGTATCGTGTCACGTGTCCCGTGTCGGTGTCGGTGCTACATAGCCTATACTTTTACACTATGCGTGAAATTACTTGATATATAGTTAAAAAAAGAAAAGAATATTTTTTTGCTTGGCGTCGGCATACAGAAGGCAAAAGGACTTTTGTTTGGTATTGCACTCTGTAACGACCACGTAACCTAAATTATTGAAGAAGTTAGGACAAAGAGCACATGATGTGAGGCAACGTGAAACGTATGGATCGCGACTTTCGAGGCCAATTATGTTGGACGGTACTGGAGATTGCTGTAGCGTCGTCGTGCCTATCATTCTTTTATTGACGCCGGGATCTAAATAGTGAATACCTTATAATATAATTCTATTATCATATTCATTAAAATATATGTGAATCTCTGACTAAAATTATATCTTAATAATTTTCAAATTCAGATTTTTAGTTGTTTTATCCTTTTTGTGTTCTACAATCTGAGTTATTCGTTTTATTGATGTTTATGAAAAAAATAAAAGAATATCCCAAAATATTGATAATTGTCTGTTGGGGTGTTCTTCACTTCTTCGTGATCTATCGGATTTTGCCAATTTGCACAAGGTTAGTTTCGACTAATCCTTAAAAATAAAAATAAAAATTCACGGTGCTCCTTTAGTTAACTTGTTTATTTCAAGGTTTTAAAGTTTATCGTATTTACTCTTAAAATAATATTATTTTGAATTAAAAAATTATTATAATTATGAAATAAATTATAATTATAAAAATATTTGAATTTTCACTCTAAAACGACGTCGTTTTGAACTTAATATAAACTCTTATTTTAATTCACAAAACAAAGCAAAATGTTTCTCTGAATTCCACAAAACTAACTTGAAATTTAAACAAAATTATGGCATGCTTTATAAGGTGTGTTTCTCTTTATGGGGCGTTTGATAGACTAATTTTTTTTTTTTTATTCAAAAATCTCAAATTTCAAAAATATAATAAAAATATTTAATTTACGATAATATTCAAAAATTAAAATTTTTAAAAAAATTCAGTTTCCTAAAAATCTTATAAAATACGTTGTAACAGATATCCCCTTCCTTTTTCAAAACAACAATATTTGACCTAATGATTTCTTACAATAATAAAGTATTACTACATAATATTTGCAAGAAAGTTGCATGGAAAAGAGCTAGACACAACTTTAGAAAAGTAAATCACATTCTCTTGATTGCCGCAGATCCAGAGTCTGCACAGTGGGCATTGCCTGCTGTAGTTGACAAATCTGAAATATATAGGGCGGCACATTATATTGAATCCAAATTAATTTACCAAGTTTGAAAATTCTCAACTTGTGAGAAACAGATTTCAGAATACAACAAAATCTAGATTATTTTATTTGAAAATTTAATGTGTTGATGTGGATGTTTTTTTTTTCCCATGAAGAAAAATCTGGATTTTATAATGCAATAACCTTTCTGGTTAACCTATAAATTGAAGCACTCATTACTTCATAATTTTTTCCTTTCTCCCCAAAGGTTCTGAATGAGTCACTACTATATTGATTCACTGTCATAAATATGCCAAGTAGGAGTTGCTTTAACAATTAAAATCTTAATTTCGGGTCTGATCCCGAATTGAATTACATGTGAAACAATTATCGATTAGAATATTTAAAAAAAATAATTAAAATCTTTTAATAGTAAAAAAGAGTATTTAGTTATTAAAAATAGAGTATTTATTGTTAAAAGTAATATAATCTTTTATTGTATTTATTTCCATGTGATATGTGCCTTAACTATTAAAACACATAGTTTCTATTTGTTATTATTATTCTATTATTATTTATTTCCAATATCCTTAAGTTAATTACTTTCCAAAAAATATATCATATCAATTTCTTATTTTTAAATTCTAATTTCTTATTACAAATATTAAATTTGAAATAATAAATTTAATTCAAAGATGATAATTTTATTATAATTATTTTAGTGTTGTTGTAAATTTGTAATGTCTTATTGTTTATGTTAAATATATTATTAAATATTTGTCAGATTGAATTAATAACTTACTTATGTAGGCTTTTTGACCCTTATAACCTTTTATTATTAATTAATTACCGATTTGACCTTGATTATAAACTATTTCAAAAATTTAACCCTCTCAAAAAACATAACACCAATCTACCCCTGTTTGACCGTTGACCACCAAGTCTACCCGGGTACACCCCTCTCTACCCGAGTATTTTTTTGAAAATTTTTGTCTACCCGAATAAGGAGAAGTGTACCCGTGTATTGTTCTTCGCACCTGAGAAATTGTTTGAATTATTTACCCGGGTAGAGAGGGGTGAACCCGGGTAAATCTTCGACCACCCATTTGGTACTTGCTATAACTGGGGCAACTTGTAGCTGATGGATATAAGAACAGATGAATGGTAAGATCGTTTGAGAGTGAGATCGGATGAGATCGACTTCTTAGATCGTAAAATCCGTAGGATTGTGCGATCCCATCGTTCCGGAGATTTTGAAAAAATTCAGAAAACTGAACCCAGAAACCATTGAAGGGACTCAGGGGAGAGAGATAAAGGAAATGATTTAATAACGACATTTTTACTTGCAAGCTGACAATTTCTTGTTGACAGGTTTGGTGTGTTGTGGATTTACATTGCCAAGCTCTTCTCTTTCTTGCTAGATAACCAAATGTTAGATCTCATCTTAGTTTCAAAATCGATTCGACGGTGACGGTGAGGATGAAAATGGGGTGGTGTTCACGTTGCTCCTTTTTCCTCAAAATCAAATAAATCATATCTGTTCTTATATCCATCAGCTACAAGTTGTCCCAGTTATAGCAAATACCAAATGGGTAGTCGAAGATTTACCCGGGTACACCCCTCTCTACCCGGGTAAATAATTCAAGTAATTTTTCAGGTGCGAAGAACAATACCTGGGTACACTCCTCCCTACCCGGTAGATAAAAATTTTCAAAAAATACCCGGGTAGAGAGGGGTGTACCCGGGTAGGCTTGGTGGTCAACGGTCAAACATGGGTAGATTGGTGTTATGTTTTTTGAGGGGGTTAAATTTTTGAAATAGTTTATAATCAAGGTTAAATTGATAATTAATTAATAATAAAAGGTTATAAGGGTCAAAAAGCCTACTTATGTATCATTAATGTAAATTAATTATTTATGCGCCTATTGTGGTTGTCTTTTTCGTGCAATAAATAATTGCCAGCGAGAAAAGTTAATTGAGATGGGCCTTGGAAGCCACGTGGCGATGGACCATTGACAGAACGGGATTCCGAATCTTGTTGTTCTGACCTTTTCGTCCTTTTGCAAGCTTGCATCTTTTTTCTCGATTCTCCGTCCCGCCTCGTCACCATTGCTAACAAATCACAAGATTCCCAATGTCTACATTCGCACAAGTAAAAATAAAATATACAACTATATTGGTAAGTGTAAGAAAAAATGAGATATTTCTCTTATCAAATTTGAACTCATTTTAAGTATTATTACAAAGGAAAAAAATATGTATTCTTGCTAAGGATATAAAGTTGTGTTATTTTAAATAAAAAAAATAGATAAATCATGATAAAAAATGAGTGAAAAAAGTTTTAAATGTGTAGATTTCATCATTTTATAAGAGTGAATATACAATGTGTCATTTAAAAAGACACACTGTTTTTTCTTATCACAAACGCCCCCTTAGATTTCATATACTATTAATGGGTTTATTCGTTTTCATTTTATAGCAAATAAATTTATTTTTTATATACACATAAAAATATGCATGTGTGAGACTTATATTTTTTCTTTTTCTTTTTTTCTCACATAGACCCAACATATCTTTATATGTGTAAAAAATAATCTCCTCATTAATATACTTTCACACAATATATATATATATATATATATATATATATATATATATATATATATACGAGGTAGGATCCTTTGATATTAGTGTCAAATTTGAAATTTGACACCTTATCTGAGAGCCATTAGATCAAAAAAGATTAATGGTGCCACATGCTTACAAATCAAAGTCGTTGATTTTTTTTGATCTAATGGTTCTCAGATGAAGTATCAAAATTCAAATTTGACGTCGAAAGATTTATATATATATATATATATATATATATATATATATATGTGACATAAATTTATATCATTTTAAGAGAGAGATAAAAATAAAATAATATTTTTTATTCAAAATTTAAATTAAAAAAGAACCACCCACTTTCTCTCCCATGATTTTTATTTTTTGTGTTTATCTCTCTCATAAAATGGCATAACTTATGTCATTTAAAATGACAAACATCAAACCCCATATATATATATATATATATATGTTAGTATATCATTTAATTATTTTCTTAAATATTAATTATTATGGCATAGAGTTTTTTTTAATTAAAAAAGAAAAAAAGGAAAAAAAGGGGAAAAGGGTGTATAAATGGAGGGCGTGGGTTGAATGGAAGAAGGAAGAGAGGAAAAAGAGGAGAGTGAGGTGAGGGTAAAGGTAATGCAGCAGAGAGGGAGAGCAAATAACCGAAGATCCAGGAGTTTCACAAGGTCTCGCATCGCTATTGAAGGCAGTTAGCACACACGCTTTCATTTTATTACCCCTTTCTTTCACTGGCACCATTTTTTCTGCAATGGCTTCAGGTTAGTGCTCAGTTCTTTCACTCCTTATTCTTAATCGTATTCGCATTTCAATTTCAACTTTGTATCGGATTTGATTGTGCAGGTATGGATGAGCGTCATGTCCAGAAAACCTACTGGATTCAGCATTCCGCTGATTTGTCCGTCGAGGCAATGATGCTCGACTCCAACGCTTCAGATCTCGACAAGGAAGAAAGACCCGAGGTCCATTTCTCTCTCTTCCTTCCTCCAAACCCTTCTCTCTCTCTTTCTTTTATTCCATTCTATTTTTTATTATATATTTTTTTCTTTTAGAGATACTTTCTTTGTCAAAGTAAAGAAAATGTTAACAATTTTGTTTAATATACTTATGGTTGAGCTTGGCTTCTAATAGAAGATTAACAATAAAGTTCCTTTTATTCTTTTAATCTGAGACGTTGATTGGTGTTTTCATTAGCTGTAGTTTTGTTTAGACCAATCTTATGGCGTGTAAAAATAACAAGGGGAAAATGGGGTGGTAAAGTAGGGTTCCATTTTTCTATTTTGGGATAGATTATTCTTACTATATTTTTTGCTGTATTTGTCTATCACTCCAAAACACCATTAGATCACAATTTCAATAAGAGAGAAAGATAAATCTTAGTTAAGAGTATGATCTCATGTTTTAGAATAGTAAACAAAAGGTAGACAGAAAAAATGGTAGGTAGAATAACTTATCCCTTTTATTTTTTATTTTTTTCTTTTCCGTATTTTAAAAATCAGGTTGGATTTCTGAGCTTTTCAACTTAAACGAATACGAATGTCTCTTGGGTTATTTTAACATAACAGATCCCGCCTCAGTTACATAAAGAATAGGATCTTTGAATTGCAGAACCATTATGTTTCATAGTAGTTAATTGCGTGCAGTCCTTAGTCACTGTCAGTATAATTCCTTATTTATTTTATCCCGAGCTGTGTTCACCCCTTAATATTGGGTGTCAAGTATTCTTATTTTATTTTTTGAAATCTATTTATCCTTGCAAACTCATTGTTTGGTCTACTTCATTAAATTGTCATTTTGCACCGATGTTTTCTTAGCACATGCTCGTTCTAACAACTGTGATCCAAAAATTGATGCCGGCTAAATCTTGGACTAATGTGTGGCTTCTTGTACGTGTTTCCCTCATATATATATATATATATATATATATATATATATATATATATATATATATATATATATATATATAACTTATCGTTTCTCAAGTTGCTTGAGACAATGTTATCTCCGGCTACTAAATCATAACTGTACAAAGATGGATCAATGGTGATAAAAGAAGAGAGAGAGAAAGAGAATCGTAACCATTCAAAGGTGAATCAATTAATATAAGAAAATAAATAAACAAAACGATGTAGTTTTAGGATGACCGGAGATAAACTTATCTCAAGCAGTTTGAGAAATGTTTTTCCCATATATATATATATATATATATATATATATATATATATATATATATATTGGATGAAATATTCTTATACTAACCAATAACATAAAAAAGAATGAAATTTTCATCGATCTAGGCATTAAAATTTTACTATTCATCATATTGATCATTAACTCAAAATTTTGAGAAAACAAAAAGATTCAATAATGGTGTAATTAAATATTTCATATTTACATATATTTCAAAAGTATGTTTTATGCAATTTCCATGTGTATAAATGAAGTATAAAACAATTTTGCATTATTGTGAAATTTTATTAGTATGATTTACATAATAGGAACTTTCAATCAGAGAGAGGAGTTTGTGTGAGAATTATCCAAATCAAAAGTTATTTGATGACATAAGAGTGGTTTTAACTTGTATTGGTATCAATTGATCCCCCCCTGCCACACAACACACTCTGTGCAATTATAGTTTCACACTTTGATTTAATTTCTTAGTAGTATTTTAATTTGTTCTTGAAAGATAATTATATTACACTCTTTGCAAACATGAAAAATTTGCAGTTATGTTCACCCCTCAAGTCTATTTGTACTAGATTTGTTGGGTCAAACACAAAGTGCAATTGTTCAAGTATGGTTGAGTATGTTTCAAACCCAGTGGATTCTTTGTAATATCACTATACTTTTTTGTTAACACATTATTGTATTTGTAGTATTGTGTTCTGCCTTTTCCCCAATTTTGAAAATTTCCACGTTGCACTTTGGAATCCTACTTTTGTCTTTTCAGGAAAAGTACCCAATCCTTTTTCACATCATTTTTTTAGATCCGTCCTTTTTACATGTTCGTAAAATACGCTGCTTTGGAGTTCAATAAGCCGCTGAAGTAAATTCTCTCTTTTTCCTGTAGTCATACTTGTGATATTGGTTCTTTTCTTTCTCGGTTTCCCTTTTCTTTCTTTCCCCCCCCCCCCTTTTTTTTTTGTTTCTTTTGTAAATCTGAGTCAGTGCTTTTGCAACTCATCTATTTTTATTTACACAGGTACTTTCCCTATTACCAGCATATGAAGGAAAATCAGTTTTAGAGCTTGGAGCAGGTATTGGAAGATTCACTGGTGAATTGGCTAAGAACGCTGGTCAGTTGCTTGCAGTGGACTTCATTGAGAGTGCAATAAAGAAGGTCATTGCAATGTTCTACCATTCTGAAAATTGATATGGTTGATGCTTGTTATATATATATATATATATATATATATATATGTATATATATCCACTATGAAGTAACCCAAATCACTCATCTCCCTTGATGTTCTGCAGAATGAAAGCATCAATGGACACCACAAGAATGTCAAGTTCCTGTGTGCTGATGTCACATCTCCAAACTTGCATGTTTCTGAAGGATCAATTGATGTGATTTTCTCAAATTGGTTACTTATGTATCTTTCAGATAACGAGGTTAGTTATGTTTATTTTAGAGAATATAATTTCGAAATTTTCGTGATTTCGTTTTCAATTTAGGCATGTTGAAGTTAACAGGTTGTATGAACCCATGAGTAATGGCTCATGGTGTCATCCAATATCAAACAAGCTATAAATTATCAATTTCTATTTTGGAGTTGTAAAATTGAATTTCTTAAACATAGATGATTCAATGTTATGGTTTCTTTATTCATTGGTTCCTGGATTTGGCCTTTTTTCTTCAAGAATTGTAAGAACTAAGCAAAGATAACTTTCCATTTCCTTTCCAAGGAATTATTCTAATATCTTATGAAATTTTGTTTCATCAGTGATTGAATGTCAATTATTGGGAAAATTATAATGTATAATCCTTTCCCGAAAATCTTTTTTTTGAGGTTTTGGGAGATGCTGAGCAAGCTTGAGCTATCTATTGTCTATAATAGAATTTCAAGCAAGCGCCATTTAATTTTGAAAACTAATATTCCACTTCTTACTATTGTGGCTTCATATCATTACCAAAGGCTTTTATTTTCCCCTTGATGCTTCAGGTTGAGAATTTAGCAGAAAGGATGATCAAATGGTTGAAAGATGGTGGATATATATTCTTCAGAGAATCTTGTTTCCACCAATCTGGAGACTCAAAGAGAAAATACAACCCTACTCACTATAGGGAACCCAGTTTTTACACAAAGGTTTGTTCTTTGAATTGTAGTTATCTCTCTCCACCCCACACTCGCTAATCGGGTTTAATGGGGAGTGATTTTGTTTTTTTCTCTCCCTTAGCCTGTGCCAGATAATTGTTTCATTGAAAATGAGCTGACATCCACTTTATATTAAATAAAGCAACTTCAAAGTATAAAATTTGAAAAAACCACTCCGCATTAAATCTCGACTAACAAAGTTTTTTCCGAATTCGAAAGTGTGACCTTTCAATTACAAATGAGCGGCTTTACTCTGCTTTTTAAAATTTTAACTGAACTTATTTAATGGAAGTGTTTTGTGATGGTAAAGATGGACCTAAGGTCACGGATGCCTTTACCAAATTTTAGTATCTGATGTCTCATGTAAAATTATTTTCAGATTAAATTTTCTTTTTGGAAATGTTTACAAATTGAGTACTGATTAGGTTTGAAGTGCTGAGTTAACGTGAGTTTGTCTCACTTCAGTTTCATTAAAGGGATTTTTTTATGATAAAAAATATAATTTGGACTTTCTGGCAGCTCAAAACGAACTGGGCCAAAAAATGTCTTAATAGATGCAATTCCTGCTTGCAAGCAAAGTCCGAGTAGACATGACACTGAAACACGGTCTATTTTTTATGAGGCAAATAATACCTTATCTAAAACTTTGGTTTGATTTGTCATTTCCTTTTATATGCAGGTATTTAAAGAATGCTGTATGAGTGATCATACTGGCAATTCCTTTGAACTTTCTCTTGTGGGCTGTAAATGCATTGGAGCTTATGTTCGGAAGAAGAAGAATCAAAACCAGGTAATAAAAATGGCATTTCTATTTCTTGTAATTATTATCACTAATTTCAACTTATCTAATTGCTGACAATATATGTGTCCAATAATATCTCTGTTGCAGATTTGCTGGACATGGCAAAAAGTTAGGTCACAAGATGATAGGGGGTTCCAACGATTCTTAGATAGAGTTGAGTATAGCCGTAAGAGTATTCTACGATATGAGCGTGTGTATGGCCCAGGCTTTGTGAGCACTGGAGGACTTGGTATGCCTTCATATTTTCCTTTCTCCCCTTATATCCCATCATAGAGATATTTCCTTTTTCTTAAATTTGATATGGAAGAATGATCTTCCTTGACTGTCTGCAAGAATGATCTCCTCTTATCATTTACCCAGGCAATGGGATGGATGAAAGCTATAAATAACTGTTTAACTTGCTGTTAAGTGTTTTGCTCCATGATTTCGAGGTCTTGTGTTATGGCACCTCTTTTTTCCTTTAGGAACATGGCAATAGATTGCTTTTCGATTCATGAAAGAATGCATGTTTGGGCAAGAAAGAGATTGGCCAATATTTCCAACCTTTTCATTCTGAAGTGTAGTTTCATTGTCAGTAGCGGAGGATTGTAGTTGTTAGGGACTTGGGAGTGGGCGAGTGGCTACGGCTCCACTAATTTATTTTATATTACTTTTGGGATATATCATATATGAACATACATGTGCAATGTGGCTTTCGTCATTCTTAAGCTAGTTTATATGTTATCTAAGTTTTCATAGAAATATGTAACTGTACCTCTTTGAAAGTATATGGTATAATTGCTTTTATGTTTAATTTTTTTTTATAAAGTCAATTGTTATTTGCCTATTGAGATTTACATATCGTATTTATTTTCTAGTGTATATATATGTAGGGTTAGGATCATTTTATACCGGTATAAGTTATATTCTTAATCTTAATCGTTGATTTTATTTATATTAAACGGTTCTGATTTATTAAATATTTGAACCGTTAGATGCGAACAAATCAATGTTCAAGATTTGATATAAGACTCCTCAATTTTACACCGGTATAAGACAATATCATTTCCCATATATATAATTTGATATATATATCTCTTTGAGATAAAATTTGCTTATCACATTGATGTGGCTATTGGTTAAATATATTTAGTTTTTTTAATGATTAATTATATATCATTTACAATTACATCTAGTGTTAACGAAAGTTGTATGCTTATTTCAAAATATAATGTTAAAGCTTAAGTAAGAAATAATTGATGTATATTTTAAGGGAGAAGCTAGTGATAAGAAGAAATATGATATAAAGCAGTATCTTTACCCTTTGAAATTCCTATTTTTGATGCTCAAGGTAAATAATGAAACACGAGGATGAGCATTCTTCAAAGATGGTAAGAATTGAACCTAATAAATTTGACATTAATTCTTTAGAACATAGCTTGTAATGGCACAAACAAGTATGTACACATTGTTTGCCTCCCCAAACAGTTATTTCAGGATCCGCGACTGTTCTTTGTTACTTCATATTGATCTAATTATGATAATTTCTTATTCTTAGACTGCTTAATATATATCATACTTGGGGATTTCTTCTTTTTTCTTCCAAATAATCTATCGTCCTGATCGGAATCTTTAAGGTTAGGTGCTGTTTATTCATCGTTGTTGTTTATATGTTTCTAACCTTTGAGGTGCTTATTGCTTGGGCAGAAACAACAAAAGAATTTGTGACAAAGCTGGGACTAAAGCCTGGTCAGAAAGTACTGGATGTTGGTTGTGGTGTTGGGGGAGGTGATTTCTACATGGCTGAAAATTTTGATGTTGAGGTTGTTGGCATTGACCTCTCCATAAATATGATTTCTCTTGCTATTGAACGATCTATTGGTATGAAATACACGGTGGAATTTGACTGTGCGGATTGCTCTAAAAAAAGATATCCGGAGAAGACATTTGATGTAATTTACTCTCGTGATGCAATGTTACACATCCAAGTAAGGAACTATCCTTTGTTTTTTTTCTTGATTAAATTTTGTATTTTATTAGAACTAAGCTTTATATCATTGAATGGATAACTTTAACCCGATAGGTGTATGCAACTGTAACTGTAAGTATGTAGGTTATTTATTCAAGGGACCATGACGTATGTTATCACGTGATATTCTGAGGAGGAACAAAATTATGTTCAGCAATTTAGAAAATATATTAGGCCTGTGACATCAAATATATGGTTTTCTCCCTCTTGTTCTAGATTTTGATTTGATCATTCTTTTTGTTGGGCAATGCCAAACTTTTTTATACCTTTAGTTGATTAAATATTTTAATGCGTCTTATTTACTTTTCTTTTGTCTTATTTATTTTTTTGTTTTCATCAATCTTTTCTTTTTATTTGGTTTAAGGGATTGCTCACCCCAACTAGTTTGGGATAATGCAAAGTTTTTTACCTTTTACTTCTGACATTTGTTTTCTGCAATTTACTCTGGATTAATACAGGAGAAACCAACATTATTCAGATCATTGTACAAATGGTTGAAGCCTGGAGGTAAACTTCTAATTACTGATTACTGCAAAAGTGCTGAAAGTCCATCTTTAGAATTTGCTGAGTACATTAAGAAAGGAGGATATTATATCCATGAATTGAAAGCATATGAGCAGGTATGGTTGCCTTTGCTATTAGTGACTTCATCTGGCTTCTCTTTCATTCATTATTTGAGTTAACATTTCTTTTGCATGACATCCGCAGATGCTCAAGAGTGCTGGATTTGATGATGTCATTGCTGAGGATCGATCTGATCTGGTTTGTCTGACACTTTGCTTGGCATTTGCATTATTTATTTTTCTTCTAGAATTCTAATAACTTTATTACTTGTTTGGTTCAGTTCGTGAAAACATTAAAGCAGGAGTTAAAAGCCCTTGAGAACAAGAAGGACGATTTTATTCATGACTTCAGTGAGGTGGGTTTCTCATGTTTTTAAGATGACTCCTTTGATACTTAATTTCAGGAATTTGCTTCTCTTAATTTAAAAGCATTCATTACTATTGCTTTCAGGAAGACTACAATGAAGTTGTCCAAAGATGGAAGGCAAAGCAGATCAGGGGTGAATCTGGAGAGCAGGTCTGGGGCTTGTTCATTGCCTCGAAAAAATGACATGCTTTTGTTCTTGTCATATTCCTTGTTCTACCTATATTGAGTCCCGTGTGAACGGAGTTTTCCAAATAATAGTTTGAATAATTATCCATTTATTAGTAGTGTCTTGGACAAAAAAGTTCATGTTTTGAATACGATGACCCGTGAAGAGGAGGAGCATGCTCTTCCATTTGAATAAGATGCTAACTTGGCATTATTGCTTCCATGCTAAAATTCTATTTCAATATCCTGTTTTTGCTTGGTTTGACATATTTGGTATGTTTGGCGTAACGATTGTTCTCATTTTCCCCAGTTGGAACATTGAGAAGAAAACACTTCATCCTCAATATTGCTCTATATTTGGTATGTTTGTCATAACGATTGTTCTCCTCGTTCCCCCACTAAAACAAAATTTTGCCCTTTCCCTTATTAAAAAAATTAAGGAAAAAATGTGTCATTTTAAACAACAAAGTTGTGTTATTTCTTAGATACAAAGAGATGAAAAAAATAACGGTGTCTGACTTATATCTTTTTGTGTTTATGAAATGATACAACTTTACGTTGTTTAAAATTATACATCCTTTTCCAAAAACTAAATAAGTTTGAAGTCACTTTTCCTTCTTCCCTTTCTCCCCTTTACTAATTATCTAAAGATAGCAGTGACTTCTTGTAGGCTTTTTAAATGTGCCGTCAAGATTAATGCTTTAGAAAAATTACGACAATTTGGACACAATCTTTAATAATGTTAAAAAAATATATTCTAATTTTGAATAATACCAAAGTTTTGGACCGTGAAGAAGTTGCATGAAATCTTTTCATATGAAGAAATGTAGCATAAACGCAAAAATTGAATCTAATAAAGTTTAAGGAAAGGAGGTTTTCCCATTCTAAAACCAGAGTATGAAAAACTATCGGCATTTAATTGAATTCAAGACTCTAGTCCTGACGCAATTCAATCCTACTAGTTAAAGTAACCTTAACGGGTAAACTAATACATGTTATTTCTCATTAATTTCCAGAGGTTAAGCATCGCAGCTCTATCTTCTTCTTCTCGCTAAATGATTTTAAAGTGATGTTATTTTTCTGTTGTGTATAAAGAACGAAGACATAAATGAAGTTAGGATACTGCTAATGCTGTAATGCAGATAAAACGAATGCAACTATATAATCGCTATGGCACAAAAGCTGGACACCTTCTTCACGGGTCATAGTGTATGATTTTTCTTTTTACTAATAGCTACCAAACTCTTGTGGACATATTAACCATCTGGGCTCAAGGATAACGAAAACTTTATCGTTACACATTTTAATTAATAGCTACTTCAACAGTAGTTCACTCAGAAGCCAAAACCCAATGGTTCAAACTTCCTAATTTCTGCTTTCCACTATTGAAGGTAAGTTTCGTCTATATACATTCCAATGCCAGTGGAATGTGTCGCTGCACCAAAAAAACTTCTCCTTTGAAAGGAAAGGAGAAGTTGTTTACCCATATATATTTCTCCTATTACATAGAAGTTACCCTCTTCCACATAAACAAGGAATGGTACTGCAAGAAAGTTAATAGTTTCTTTCGGACAAACTATTAACCCTATATATATATATATATATATATATATATATATATATATATATATAGGGTAAGTATCCGTTTATAAAAAAAATTATAAATTTTTATAAATTATATTATGTATTCTTGAAAATACATAGCGTAATCTAGTGTATTTTTAGATTATATATATATATATATATATAATTTTTATTAATTTCATGTTAAAAGAGATAAGTTATCTCATATCATAGAGATAAACTTGTGGGCTCCACCACCTAAAAAATAAAAATAAAAGAAAAGAAAAAGGTGACACATTTATCGAATGATGTGTAGGAGAAAAACTTATCACATGTTTTTCCTATATATATATATAGGAGAAGTTTTTTTGGTGCAGCTCACACACTCTATTAGCATTGAAATGTGTAATATTTTTTTTTTTTTTCCAAAACAACCAATGGACCCATCAAAAAAAAACTTCTCCTTTGAAAGGAGAAGTTGTTTACCCTATATATATATGGGAAAAGTGTGTATAATTTTGAAGGACGTAAAGTTGTGTCATTTTAAGAGAGAGAAAGAGATAGATAAAGGAGGAGAGAGAGTTGACAAAAAAAAAAAGTTGTGGGTCCCACCTCTTTGTGAGAGTGAAAGGATGTAAGTTGTGTAATTTAAAAGTATAGACACTTTTCCCTATATATATATAGGGTTTTATAAGAGTTATGTTGTAGGAAAAGTGATTGTGTTATGTTATAGAGATTCGTTTTGCGTGCCAGAGTTTTTTTTTTTTTTTGCTGCGGGCCCCACAAAATGTTGTGTGTGTAGGAAAATTTTTGTGGTCATGTTAAATGATAGATGATAAACCCATATATATATGGGTTTTATATATATCATGTTGTAGGAAACTTACAATGTCATGTTACTCTCACAAAAAGTGATGGCCCCACCTTGTTTTATTTTTTCTTCTTTTTTTTTAAGTGGGACCCACATCAAATGTATTAGATTAACATGACACTACAAGTTTCCTACAACATGACATATATAAAACCCTATATATATATATATATAACAAAATCTATCTTTTTTGTTTTTGTTAATATGCAAGTTTCCAATATATATAAAATTTTGTCTTTATATTTTAGAAGTTTATAACTTGATTGATATAATTTTAAAAATTTCTAACAAAACTATTTCTTTGTTTTTGTTAGTATGTAAGTTCCAATATTGAATTCTTGTATTTTTAAAATTTCTAATTAAATATTTATTATTGAGGACTGTAACAGAATTAACAGTTATTAAAACAAAACTCAATTATAAACTCTTTTTTTTTTTTTGGAAAAAAGGAAATTAAAACAAAAACACAACAAAAAGAAACTAGGCACAAAGCCTAGACCAGTGAACACCTATAGTGTCACCATACAGACTATCAATACAACCTGACGGTGGACAATCAAATTCCTGAATTACCCAAGAGTAAGAGGCTAGAAAGTCCGCTACTCTATTTCCTTCACGGTGAATGTGAGACATATAAATCTGCCAATCTCGCTGCATCAAATTTCGAATACGATTCACCAAATTAGCCGCAGGGTAATCATGGTGGCACCCATTTGTAATGAGCTGTTGAGCTGAAAGAGAATCTCCTTCGAGCCAAACTTGCCTAAAACCTCTATCCCAAGCTAGCTCCAAACCAACCAAGCAAGCCCATAACTCAGCATGCAAAACTGTACAGGTGTGTTCATTACCGCAAGTCACCTGTGAAGAGATTGATAGGAAGATTCGAAATTTTGTTTGGGGTTCATCTCCACACTCTAGACGTTCTCATCTTGTGGCCTGGAAGCAGATTTGCATGGATAAAAAAAATGGAGGCCTTGGACTGCGGAGTATGAGGGAAATGAACTCAGCATTTATCATGAAGGTTGGGTTCAACCTCGTAGCTCATCCAGATGCCTTGTGGTCAAAGTTCTTACGTGCTAAGTACAATGTGGAGGCAGGCATGACACCAATTATTCATGCTCCAAACAGCAGCTCCCAGCTTTGGAAGGGAATTTCGTGTCATTGGAATATTATAATGGATCATAGTCGGGTGCAGTTAGGCAATGGTCAGTCCACTATGTTCTGGCTTGATAGCTGGCTGCCCGATTGTGGTCCTTTGATCTCATATACAGGTTCTCAGTTTTCTATTAGTGATACTCTTCAGAAGGTGGTGGACTACGTGGATGAATTGGGGCAATGGAAATGGAATTCTCTTCGACAATTGCTTCCAGATTCTGTGCTGCATCGATTTATGAATTTTCTTCCTCCTTCTAGTCAAGATGGCCAGGATCATTTAATTTGGAATGGAACGACAGATGGCAAGTTTACTGTTAAGTCAGCATATGCAATATTAGCCATCAAAGATACTACAATCCAATAGTTTCCTTGGGAAAGTGTTTGGAGATGGCAGGGGCCAGAAAGAATTCGCTTTTTTCTTTGGTTAATGGCAGGGGTGAAGCTGATGACTAATGTTTGTAGACTCCGCCGTCATATGGCTCTTTCAGATCCGTGTCCTAGATGTAATCAGTCTAGTGAAACTATCCTTCATACTATTCGCGATTGTCCACAATCAAAGGAAGTATGGTGCATGATAATGCCTCATATAAATCAGCGTGAATTTTTCAACCTCAACCTGCACAATTGGATCATTTCTAATTTAGACAGCTCAAAGGATTGGGGGATGGGGTCGGACTGGCCTCTTTTATTTGGAATCTTAGCCTGGAAAATTTGGAAATGTAGGAATTCTTGGGTTTTTGAAGGTGATCGCCAGAATGCTTATTCACTTATCCGTTCAGCAATTGGTTTCAGAGATAGAGTCGCTCTTGCAGCTAACCCTGTTTTTGGAGCGGGCAATCAACCAAGGAATCGAATAGAGAGATTGGTTGCTTGGTGTTGTCCTCCTGTGGATTGGGTTAAGCTTAATGTTGATGGTGCATGTGATGCTAATGTTATTAGGACTGGGTGTGGAGGAGTTTTTCGCGATGCCTCAGGAACTTGGATCGTCGGATTCTGTAAAAATTTAACTCAATTATAAACTTTAAAATGTAGAAATCTAATTAAAAATTCCTAAATAAATAGCACAGGAATTGACATAGCTTGAAACTATAAACTTCAAACTTGAACAGTGAAGTAACTGGACACCGCCGTTCGATGCGTAGTGCCTGTTGGTTTTAGATTTTTTGTTTTTTTGGTTTAGTATTTGTTCAAGGAATATGGAGTTGTCATTTTAAGTAAAAAAAAAAATATAAATAATGAAAATTATGAAAGAGAAAGTATGTAATTTTTTAAAGAAATTTAAAATTTAAATAAAAAATATTAAGTTGTGTCTTTTTTTCTATTAGAATAACACAATTATATATTATTTAAAAGGATAATTTTTTTTAAGTACAATTTTGTTTTAGATTTTGACAGTGATAAAAGTAGGGGTGTCAAAACGGGTTGACACAACACGAATACATCAACACTAACACGACACGAATTTTTATTCGTGTCAAAATCTTCAACACTGACACGATACGAATTTTTTGCGGGTTGACGCGACACGTCACGAATAACGCGCAAAATAGGGGTCAAAACGGTAATTGACAAAAAAATGGTTTAAAATTAAAAAATAATAAAAATAAAATAATTAAAAAAAATATGGGTCGACACGAACACGAATACCTCAACACGAACACGACACAAATTTTTTACATGTCATTTTTTCTAACACGAACACGACACAAGTTTTTTATGGGTCAACCTGAATACAAATTTTGGTGTCGTGTCGCGGGTCGACCCACGTGTCATAACCATAAATAAAATAACGTTTGTGACGGTGGTATGCTTTCTCCGTTTGAAAAAAGACATGGCGTCACTTGGAATTAATTTTAGTGAAATTGAAAATTTCAAATATTATCACCTTTGCTTTCATTAACATTAGGGCCGGTAAAATGGAATTTGCTTTACGGGCCGGGCGGATGGACTGGACCGCTTATTTTGTCTCTAAGTCTAACATCACATTTCCATTAAAAAGATGTATATAAGTTTAATAATTATTCGGCCCTGTATATCAATATCATAATAAGAGGTTTTTTTTTTTTTTTTAAATAGCACAACCTTTAGTTTAATTTTTTAAATGACACATTTTTTTTTTAAATTTTAAAATTCATTATGCATATATAGTTTTTATATTCTTTAATATATGTTTGAAATTTCTTGAATTTATTATGTATATTTATATACTTTTAAAATTTTTAAAATACTATTTCCTTTTTTTATTTTTTTAAATTTAAGAATATTCCTTGAACGTATGAAGTAATTCCTAGTAATATATTAAATTTTATTACATTTCAGCAATTAATATTTAAAAGTAATTCTATTTTATTTCATTAATTTTAAAAGTGATTTTTTTTTGTTGCTAATATGGAGGGAATAAAACAACCCCAAAGAGACTATTCTAAATGTGATTCTTTCTCTTTTAAAAAAAGTAAATTTTATTTCTTTTTTATTTTAGAAGTCTTTTTTATAAAATTTAAAGTTATTTATATTTTTATAAAAATATTTAATTTTTTAAAAAAATATTTAACTTTTGACTTTTTTTTTTTAGAAGTTACAATTTTTAACTTTTAAAAAAAGTAAATTTTTGACTTTTTTTGTGATTTTTATTTTTTTTAACGCAAATATCCAAATGAACTAAAACTGAAAAGTAATTAAAAAAAAAAAAAAGTAACTTTTTTGAAAAGAAAAAATCCATCCAAACGAAAGCTGAGTAATTTGAACAAATAGTGATTTAATAATTCATTATTATTTTTTAGCGGAAGGGGTCCTCGACTTTAAATTGGTTTGTTCTCTGGCAAAAGCAAAACCCTAACTCTCTGTCTCTGTGTGTGTGTGTGAGAGAGAGAGAGAGAGAGAGAATGGGAATAAGGGATTTTGATTACAAGTTTCTTCCAATACGAGATGCGCATACATCTATCAATCAGAAAGTGAATATTATAGGCGTTGTCTTTGAGTTTGGGTTCCCAAAGCCAACTAGGGGAACTGGTAAACTTAACTTCAACTATCTCTTTCATTTCAACCTTCAAAGTTTGGATCTTTCCTCCTTAAACTGGCAATGATGATAAAAAGGCCGGTCTTACGGCTGCCATTTACTTCCTTGGTAGTAGATTGATGAATGTTTTCGTGAAAGTGTGTTCTGAGCCAGTTTCACTCTTTTCATGTTTTGCACTCAAAATTTTATTTTTCATTTAACAAGTTTGAAATATTTCATGTTATGCGCTTGTGTCTTTCTGGGTCCTCCTACTTTTACTGGACACTTAGGTCGATTTTTTATTTTTATTTTTATTTAGGGTTGAGGTTTCTCCAAGTTATTAGCATGAAATATCCTCCTGCTACTATTGCTTATCCTTCATAAATAACTTGTGCAGATTACTGCTGTACCCTCAGAATAATTGATGAAACACATCACCAAAACGGCATGTCTGTTAACATTTTTGCTGAAAATGCAGAAAGACTTCCCCGTCTTGCTGCTGTTGGAGATATCATTCAGCTTTGTCTTGTTATGGTATTCCCTGATTGTAACCTCTATTTGTACAGATATGTTTGCTGTGTTTGTATATATGTATGTATATTCATATCCTTAAACAGACATGTTATTTCATGATTTTACAGAGCTTATTAAACTTGTATTGTAAAACTGAAACTACATTGAACATCAACTCTGCTCATTTTCTTACTGCTGGTGCATGTTCAATGGAAATAGACTTTCTCATGTGTAGATAAACATATGTCTTTTTTCTTTTAAATTTTTTATTTTATCTTTTGTAGGTAAAAACGTATGGTGGGGAAGTAAATGCTGTTTTCAACAAAAAATTTTCCTCTTTTGCTTTATATAAAGGGACAGATGGTGATGATTTGGTCCCTTATCAAGTTTCTTCAAAATTTCACCCCAGAGATGAGGACAAGATGTTCATAGCCAAACTTAGAAAATGGCTGGTCAATTTTCAGTTTTGTGAAGGTATTATAGGATTGCAGCTTTTAGTATAACTTGATTTCAGTTTATTTATCTTTAATTTCTGTAGTCTATTCTAAACTTAATAAGGACATGCATACTTGGACACTGTTGCTTGTGATTTCTGGGAGAGAGAGTATAATTTTGTGTTACAATCCTATTGTTGTTCTTATGTATAAATTCTTTAGACTTAAATTACTTAAGACATTGTCTAAAGCATTCATCAAAAGAAGAATTGAACTGAAGAAGAAATGTTGTTTGAGGTAGGTTGCGTTCATCATCTAGTTTGCTACTTTGATGCTATATTTTGATGTGTGAATATTTACGGTTTTAATATGCTGTGTAGATACAAGTGATTTTCCTATGTTAAGAGAAATCAAGGGTGGTCACCTTAATTTGGTGTGCAAGGTAATTCAGCTGTATTTTAGTTCTGATTTTTGTATGAGTGAATTTTATAGTCCCTTGTATAAATATAATAATTAGACTACATAAGCTCTTTATAAGATTTTTGAGTCTTTTTAATCGTTAACATTCCAAGGTGTTGAATCCTTCTTCATCCTTTTCTTTTCTCATTAAGATACTTCATTGCTGTGAGGCTGCAAAGGATGAATGGTTTTTCTTTGTTTGGGATGGTACTGATTCCCCACCAAACACCATATGTGCAAAGTGAGTTGATTCAAATTTACCTTAACATTGACAGTTCAGCTCCCATTCCCTCAAATGTATGTGCTGTGTTTGGATAAAATTGTATTGAATTCTGTTTCTGGCAATTTCTTATAACAAAAGCAGCTGCATTTTCTAGTATTCTGTGTATAATATCTTTTCAAAGGTAAGGTACTGGGCATAGGCATAAAATGTAACAATGGGCTATTGGTGTTTTATTGATCTAATACAGAAAAAATACTGATAACCTTTATCTGCCCCCCCCCCCCCCCCCCCCCCCCCCCCCCCCTCTCCTTCCTTTTTGTACTGGGCTGTTGGGGTAATGGAGTATTGGACAGGTGATTCAGTGGAAATGACCTGCTAAGAATTGTATAATTATGGGTTAGAGAAAATGTTTATATGATATGATCAGGAGCATCACTTGTGACCATCCATCCTACATCTAGCTTGGATTAATGCATATTTCACTTAATTAGGTTTGAACCCGTTTGGTTTAGATCCTTCACTATATTGAGTCATGTTTGAGGCGATGTATTGCCTCAAATGCTGCAGCAGAAAAATGTAATGGTTCCTTATATGAGTTTTTCACATGAGAGGGTCTTGTGAGAAGAGAGAGAGAGAGAGAGAGATACTCAGACCCTAAATAGGGCCCCACTTGGGTTAAGGTTTTCAGAATCAATTTTGACTCCAAGAGTTGAATCTAATTAAATGAACCTTGGCTTACTTCAAAATTGATTTTAAGGTGGAGACCACGTGATTTTCTGGCAAATCCTTACAATCAATTTCAACAATTGGGACCCATTCATTTCTCAAAGTTATCCCTAGAATTATGCTTTGATGAGACCTTGGGATGCACTACTCCAAAAGCTAGCTCAAAGGGTGAGAGTGTCCAAAGCCTTATAAACCCCACATTAGTTGGCCATACAACCAGTGTGAGATTCCAAGTCCCATACCTTGCAAATAGAACCCAACATTGCACCACGCTTCCCTAGTGCGTGCCCCCACGCACAACTCCATGTGATAGATGCTCTGATTCCATTTGATGAGACCTTGGGATGCACTACTCCAAAAGCTAGCTCAAAGGGTGAGAGTGCCCAAAGCCTTATAAACCCCACATTAGTTGTCCATACAACCAGTGTGGAACTCCAAGTCCCATACCTTGCAAATAGAACCCAACATGCTTCAATATTGATTTTATATTACAACACCTTGACAATATCAACATCACCTTTACCTTGAACTAGTTGGGGCATACGGTCGATGAATCCAAATGAAAGTAAGAAAAGATTGAGGGAAAAGAAAAATAAATAAGAGAAAAAAAAATATAGTAATAAATAAAATGATACATAAATAAATACAAGAAAAGATTAAGAGAATTTTTTTAATGAATAAACAAAATAAAAATAAAAGAAATAAATAAATATAGTAAAAAAGGACTAAAAAGGGCTATTAACAAATTGTAAGCTAATCTATTTTTCACTCAATTAAATTTTGTTTTACCACTTTCTCGCAAGTTTAGGTCTTTGTGTTTTGCTCTTGTAACAAACTCCTATTTTTGTGGGATAGGAATCTTCGAAGAAGATGCCCAAACAATCTTAATCTACTCTCATCTTTCTAGCCATTGGTGCTACTATTATTTTTCTTCGGATATCTTTATGTCTTATCTTATGCATCTACCTAAATATTATCATTTTGCTATTCCCATTCTATGTTAATAATGCTTATATGTTGGCCAACATTCAGCTCCGTATAGCATTGCAGACCTTACTGTCATTCTATAAAATTTTCCTTTAAGCTTTAGAGGGAGTTTGCAATCACACGAAAATCATGATGTATTGCGCCACTTCGTCCAACCTATACCTCCTATCCTAACATATGCACCGAATCTTGATGCTGTTCTCTTGTCGCAAACTAACTTCATGTACTCATCCTAACAATATTAAAATTATTAAAATCAATTTTTTTCTGTCAGTTTGTTTGCATTTACAGTCAAATCTTCTAACATAATTTTCATTTATAATCTAAACCCAAAGAGGGCACTTCACTGGAATAAGATTTTCCAAGTTAGGAAATTGACTTACGGATGAGCTAGCTTAGAAGGCTCTCATAAGCATAGTAAAATATTTGATGCGATGTGGAACATAGCTGTTGTATGCACATATGATGAAAGAGAACATATATTGATACTTTGTTAGCAGAGGCTAGGCTTAATTTTTTCTCTTCTATATAAATCACTAGGCTGGATGCCACTTGGCAATTGGTTTATTTGTTTGTGTATAACGTATTAATATCCTAGTACGAATTTGATTTGCTTCTTTATGAATTGCAGGCTAGAAGATGAAACGAATTCTCCACTTCCTTTACATCTGGAACCTTCGCCTTTATCAAGAGAGTTATTATGTACTTTGCCTACTGTTGGATCCATCTTGAGGATAACTTTTGATGTAGGCATTGAGAAGAATCATCTCCACCTTCTAAACATTGGTAAATGGATCAAGTTTATCAATATGCGTCTCGAAGTGCATGCAGGACTTTGGCGTGGTGTTTTTACCCCTTTTACAAAGCTTCGATATACACCAAATGAGGACTGTCTTATTATAGAACGCCAAAGGTGGTTGCTAAATTAGTTGACTCGTAATTTATGGTTTGGATATATTAGCTCAGTGCACTAAAGCATCTATATTCATTTTATTTATATTGAGTCAGGTTGTATGATGAGCGGAAATCCTTGAAATTGGGAAGAATGCCTTCTTGCAGTTTCCCTAAGCCTTCATGTGTTACAGGTATTTCAATTGTGTAGCACTAATATAAGTCACTGATTTTTATGACTGTCATAAATGTGAGCATTTCTTAATGGGATAACCGGATAACAACTGTGCTTTATCCTTACAGAGGCTAAACATGATCATGTGCGGCATGTTACTTTAATGGATGTCCTCACCCATTCAGAGGTACTGCTATACTGCATTTTCTTCACTAGTACCCACACTCTGAACTTCATTGAAATGCCAGATTAGAATAAGAGACTTATCTGAGAGGTCAAACTCTTTTGACAATATAACAACACACTGATTCAATGATAGTACGGAAAAATTCTAGATTTTCAAGGGATCAAATTAGGAGTAGTGGTGAAGCTATTCTTTTGTGACTGAAAGATTACGGGTTCGAAATTGAAAAACAGCCTCTCTACATATATGCAAGGACAAAGCTGGGTATAAGAATTGTCTTCGCCCCACCATCGCCAGTCGGGGTTTAATTCAAGGGATCAAAATTTAAGTTTTGTTGATTGATATTACATAACTCTCTCTCTCAGCATCCCTGTTACTTTTTGCTTAGCCAATTCGTATATTGAAGGTGACAGCTAAATTCAAGTGTGTTGTTCGGATGGTAGCAGTAATGCCATGCCAAGCTGAAAAGATTCGCTCTCCTGCTGGGACATATAGAATGCAGCTGACCCTAGAGGATCCAACGGCCAGAATCCATGCTTTCGTAGTTGCTGAGGATGGGGTCAGAACAAATTTTAACCTTTATCCTTTGATTTAGAATTCTTGGCACTAATTATTTTATCCACGCGTGGACGGCCGTTGTTGTTTCTAACTTCTATGGGTTGCAATTTTCCACACTAGGCATACAAGAGAATACTTCAATTTCTCCAATTTTCTTTTTTTATTTGTTAAGTTCTTCACCTTCTATATGACTGATCAATTTTCTGTTCGCTTCATGATATATTACAGGAGACTCTCTTTGATGGTTATCCGGCCGCTGACATTTTGACGAGGAAGCTGAACAGATTACTAGGAGTAACTGAATGTGATGATATAAGAAATCCCCCATGGGTGTCTATTTGTCTTAAATCGTACTATGTTTCTAAAACTGATGTGTGGGGCTCTAGACACTTTCGAATATTTGACACCAAAATAGCGGAAGCATCATGATATATATTGTTAGGAAGGTTTTTCTTTTCTGTCTGAAAGAGAATGCGTCGTAGGATGTGTATCTAGGTAGGTTCATTAGAAAATGTAATGTAATTATATTAAGCTAATATAGGATGTGCATAGAATGTACGAAAGCTCTTCTATGCTTTTTGTCCAGAGCTTTCATGGTGTTGGATTTTGACTGTAATATGTAAATGAAATGCAGAAATTACATATGGTCAATTTATGTCTGATTATTATTGTGTGCGGCATTGTTTGGGTGTTACCATATACCTCCATCGAAGGATCCCCGCCTTCTGATGTGTAAACATGTTTTTAAGGTCTTCATACAAAACTAACCTCGTGACAGACATCGACACACCAAGTATCTACCTTTTTTTCTATATTTATTTATTTTTAGGGTTCAAGTCATGCTTCACTTGCAAGTAGCACCTAGGCTGAAACTCTAAAGAGGTTCTGTACTGATTTGTGAAATTTCTGTGAAGTTCATTATCAAAGCATTCCCGTGCGAACTTAGACAACAGTGTACGCAACTTTAACTTTCATCTCTTGGGTTAAACGAATGTGTAAAAGCGTGTTACCACTACCTTGCAAAAGTTATGATTAATATCTACAAATTCACTTATTTCCACCAATGTAAGCTTTCCTATGGTACAATTTGCCCTAAAGCTAAATAACTATTTCCACCGAAAAGGAAAGAAAACCTGACACCCCGCATATTATATTGCACTCATAGCACCTTCTTGTATTCTTGTACCTTCTCAAAGCTAGTAGTGCCAGGAACTAGATGAGTGCAGGTACACCAAGCTCATTAGGGCGGTTTGGCTGAGCCACCTCACCAACTACAACAGCAGCAGCTTGCCTCCGTTGCCTCTCACGGAAATATAGCACAGTTAGCAGGCATAAAAAGAGGGTGAGAATTGTGGCATTTCCCTCCTCCAAAAGCACATTCTCCACCCAAACTTCTAATTTAGGATATACTTCTGGCAATGAATCAATCATATGGACCTAATAAGAACAATAAGCACATTGCAATCAGGATCTAGGATCTAGAACAGCGAGAAATCTGAAATAATATTGGAAAAAATGTAAAAGCATGGCTATTACAGGAAATAGTTTAAGATAACGAGGACATACTTTAACACAAAATAACAATGGCGAAGTGTAAGACATGTTAAAGACAAAAATTAAACAGTAAAAAACTATTTCAACCCAAAAGCTCAAGTTGTTAGATGAGGTTACATTTCATGGTTTTTATATTTTTTTAACACGCTCCTTCACAAGAGAGCCCATTGAGCTTGAAAGGTGGATGATGTATCAGGCCCAGATTAGCTGTGCTAAGAAATTCCATAAAGAAAGTGGGCGGCAGCGAGGATCGAACCCAGGACACTGAGGCTCTGATACCATGTAAAAAACCATTTCAACTCAAAAGCTTAAGCTGTTGGGCGAGGATACATTTCATGGATTTTATATTTCTCTAACAAAGCAAATTCTTATTTCATTCTCTTTTCATTAACCTAATTTTTTTAATAAGCCAAGAACTCAAAAACTTAATATAATGACCGCATTGTGTTGTTCAACCTATACAAAAATAATGCAATGCTATACATCCAATCAAATTGAAGAAAAGTGTAATGACTGAGTATCTACTACCACAATATTAAAGTAGTTCTACCCCAAATATGTGAGTTATTGTCCATTACATTGAAGAAAATGTAGTGACATATATATATGGCAAAAATCTAAGCTTTGTTAAAGAAATGCAAACTGCTAAATTGGCCATTTATTAAGATCCTTGGGTAATTGAGAGAGAATATGTTATCATTATCATAATCTATGTCCTAATTCAACACAAACTAAAACAGGTAACTAAGATAGCATGAAAAAATAAAAATAAAAATCATCAATAGTTTCAAACACTGTCAAGTGTGACCGGTAACTGTCAGCATTGCAGCAAGTAAACCAGAGATACTCACCAAGAAACTGTCAGCATGGTTCTTACGAACCCACAAGCTACTTAGAGCCAGTGTGACCGGTAACTTTGCAGCAGGGTCATGCTCTAGAGCCTCATCATAGTAACGCTTGGCTAGATGAAGGTCAAATGGAAGCCCTTGGCCATGTTCATGCATGTATCCAAGATTGAACATGGCTTGTGCATTAGATTGTGATTTGGCATGCATATAAGCCTCAGCAGCTCGCTCATAATCCCTTGCAGTTCCCTGACAGAAGGAATAAGAGAAACAAAAGAGAAAGTTAAGAGAAGTTGTGGGGAAAGAGAGCACCATGGGTTAATTGAATGTTCAAAGCATGAACATTTCATCCCAAAACCACATACCCGACCATAGTAATATGCATCTCCAATGAGTAAAGCAGCATGTTCATTGCCCTGCTCAGAAGCTTGCCACCACAGAGAATGTGCCCGCTGATGCCTTTCTGCATCAGTGCAATATCCAGATTCACCAATGCACATGCTCCGTTCCCCATATTTGTCAAGAATCCATGCAGCATTACTCTGCGCAACCTCATAGCCCATCTCAGCCATTCTAGAATACAACATAAATGCCTTGCCAACATCACCTTTTAAGTATGATTCTAGTGCCCATCTAGACAAAGAACTCCATGGTCCCCGCTCCGCAACTAGTTTGTACAGTGCAGTAGCCTAAGACCACAAAAATTAAAACTGTGTAGGCAGAGACCTCTGATGATAATAGTCATTAAGGAATGAAAAATATAACAATTCACAACTTCAAATCTAGGCAGGTGCCAGGTACTCAAAAATCCAATTTACCCAATAATAATGTTACTTGTATTCTAAAGAATTATGCATATAATCTCGAGTGGTATCACCTGAAATAAATATACACAAGGCTTTGTTGTACAATAATCCACTTACCAAGGGAATATTTTTCTTGAACCCAACCCCAATATGGAAAATCTTTGCTAGCTGGAAGAATGCCTTTGGTTGACCATGGTTAGCAGCCACTATAAAGAACTTACATGCCAACTTCACATCTCTTTTCACTCCAATCCCCTTGAGATACATGACCCCCAGGTTATAGTGCCCGCCAACCTCATCATTATCAGCAGCCTTTTCGAAGTACTCTTTTGCCTGTAATTTGCAAAAGATATCAGAAATGAAGCATAGATGTACATACATACAGGAAAACTCGATAACGATAAGGTCGCTACAAGAAGCTAAATAAATTTCCTCTCCAATCCAACACTGTCTAAAGGCATGCCTTGATATACACGGGAAGAAGATAGAAAGCAGATAAATATAATCTTACTTTAGTGTAATTCTTCTTGTCGACTCCATAGCCTTTGACGTACAAGTAGCCCATGCCATTATAAGCAGAATATAGGTGGTGCTTAGATGCAAGGGTGAGCCATTCGAAGGCTTTGGTGTAGTTTCTTTCAACACCAGCTCCCCTAGCATAGATCTCACCGAGAAGTTCCATAGAGCGAGGCTCGCCCTTCTCGACAGCCTTCAAGAACCATGAGAGTGCCTTGGCATGATCACGCCTCAATCCTCGGAGGCCAAAGTAGTAAAAGAGGCCAACTTTGTACATGGCAGCAGCATTCCCTTTCTGAGCTTGATACTCGAGTATCTGGAAGTCCTCGTCCTCTTCCCCTTTGGATTTTCTGAGAGCTTCTTTGTTCTCCTCAGCTCCACTGTGGAGCCTTACGGGTTCAATGACAGGTGAGTCTTTGGAAATCAAAAAGCTATTCACAGCAACTTCTGCTAATTCAGCATAAAGCTTAACTGCTTTTTCAAACATCTGCGACAAAGCAACCATCAATTGAAATGAATGCAGATCTCTATATAATACAGAAATGAATGGAAATGGTAAGAGTAAAGTATAGAGAGAGAGAGAGAGAGAGAGAGAATCACATCTTGGCGCATGTAGGTATAAGCCAAAGCCATCTTGGACTGCATATTGCCACCCTCAGCAGCAAAGTGATGGTAAAGAAATGCCTTCCCTTTGCTACTCTCTCTCGAAAGCCCAATCCTCCACAAAAACCCTAACACCGATTGGGCACCCGGGTGCCCCCATTCAGCGGCGGACTCGATCTCACCTGCACCCTCCTCCATTAGCTTCATCTCCCCTGACATAAGCTTCCCGACGCCAGAATAGTACACGGTCTCCGATTCCGATAGGGATTGGGTGGTGGAGGAGGATGGAGCAGAATCGGGCTCGAAGATAGGGCGCCATGAAGCGGGGTCCAGTTCATCTTCGGACTTGTGGGGATCGGAGTCGCCGAACTCGTCCCACTCGGGGTTGTCGTCGGGATCGGGGGGTGGAGCGTCGTCCTTGAAATCTTCCTGAGAGAGGACGAGGACGAAGGGGCGGGCGTGGGCGGTGATTGTGCGAGAGAGACACAAGAGAGAGAAAATCAGGAGAGAGAAAAACAACTTGGCGGTCATTTTTGTGTTTTGGAAGTGAGAGAGAGAGAGAGAGAGTACCTCAAATTAGGGGGGGCATTACTGGAATCTTCTTATTCTAAGTATGCATGCCACGTTTTTTTGGCTCCTCTCACCAATAGAAACCCTGCATGTCAGCAGGCTTACCTCATCGTCACTGCCAACCCCATGGGCCATTGCCTTGTGTTTTGGGCTAGCCCAATTACTTTCGGTTCACTTTAAGCTTTGAACATATTTAATTCGGTTGCAACCCGACCCACAATGCGGCCCAAATAAAGAGCGAGTTAGATATTCTTTGGGTCCTTTTTTAATTTTATTTTTGCATATAAGGAGGGAACTAGGCAAGAAAAACATAAGAAAGTCTAAGAAGAGAAACTAAAGCATTACATCTTTTATTTAAGGGATTTATTAATCTCTTTTAATAGAAGATAGCTTGTCTCATTCATAGAAACAAATTATGTGGGTCTCACCATTTTTTAAAAATAAAAAAAGAATGGCACAATTTTTTATACCTCACTAGCATAAGATAATTGTCTTCTATAAAAAGAGACAATTTAAACCCATAAAAAAGAGAAACTAAACCTAAAGGAGGAGTCTGGAAACATGAGGATGGCTTCCTATCTTTGAACCTAATTTAGCTAACTAATAGACCAATTCTTCTGTAACCTATGATGCATGGACACAGGACATGGGACACGACACGCCTACACGTTAATTTTAAAAAATGTCATATTTCGATATGTTGGGACATGTTTTGATATTAAATAAAATTTTTAATATATACAATGTAATTTATATTTAATACATATAAGAGTCCATAATAAGTTATATAACCAATCAAATATTTAAATTCATAACATAAATATAAATATAAATAATTTTTCGTACTTTGCTAATAATTTTTCATGGCAAATTTCATAATAGAAAAAAAAATTAATTTATAAATTATTTCTTTTATATTTAGTTAACAAAATAAAATTAAGATTAAAAAAAAAACGTGTCCGAGCATTGACCGCGTATCAGAAAAAAGTTGACTGGTGTCGGAAAAACGTGTCGGAATGTGTCGAAGAGTTGACCGCGTGTCTCCAAATGTTGACCATGTATCAGACGCGTGTCCGAACGTGTCTGTGCTTCCAGTATGTAACCACTAGCATAAAAAATTTGGTCAAATAAATTATATAAGGTATTACACAATATGAATAGTAACTTTTTTATTTTTAAATTTACAATATTAAAGTTAAATATAAATTTTCAAGATCTATGAAAAAACTATGCTAATTTATTATATGAAAAAAGAAAAATCAACACGAAATAAATATTTGAGCAAATTACCTTTGGCAATAATATACTTATCACCAATTAAATTTATCATTTCTTACCATCAAATTTTAAACGTTAATTTTTGTAAATCTAACGATTATAGTTTATTGGATGATACTTATTTATTAATTAATTATTAATTTTAAATAAATTATAATCGTTATATTAACAAAAATAAACGGTTAAAATCTGATGGTAAGAAATGATAAACTTAATTGACGATAAATATATCATTCTTGAGTTACTTTTTCTAGTAATTTATTGAATAGTAATAAATAAATAAATAAAAAACGAGTGTTCCGTGTTGTATTGTATTGAAGAGGAGGACTCATCTGGTGAACGAACAAGCAGAAGAACGAGACCTGACCTGACCTGACCTGGGAAGGTTGATTCTGCTCTCACTTATTTATTCATCATCATATTCTCTCTCTCACTCACTCTCTCACAGCTAACCATGTCTTCTCTCTTGGGTAAAGTTTCAATTCAATGATTTAATATCACCAAACACCCTCACTGAAATCTTCATCTTCATTTCAATTTACACTTACGGGTGTGTTTGTTTGATTTGACTTTGACAGATGAGTCCAGGGAGCACTTGCTGGAGGTGGATGGCTACGCCAATGGAAATGGAGGGGAACAGGAACATACCAAACCCAAATTCCAGATACGAAATCTGACCAGAGTCTCCGACGATGGAGTTCACATACTCAAAGGCATCAACGTCGATATCCCTAAGGGTGTCATCGTGGGGATCATAGGCCCCAGTGGTAGCGGCAAGTCAACGCTCTTGAGGGCCTTAAACCGCCTCTGGGAGCCACCCTCCGCCTCCGTCTTCCTCGACGGCGCTGATATCTGCGATCTCGACGTTCTCTCCCTCCGCCGTAAGGTTGGCATGCTCTTTCAGCTCCCCGCCCTCTTTGAAGGTGATTCAATTTCAAACACCCATTTCTTTCAATTGACAAAATATGCCTTATAATTAGACCCAATAGTGAGTTTGTTCGATTGAGTCAGTAATTTTCAAAAAATTGGAAGAAATTTTAATTTTTTTTTGTATATATTGAACATGCGATTAAATCTTGGGACGAAGGAAGGTTTGCTTAATGTTGGAGGGTATCTCTTCTACAGGCACAGTTGCAGACAATGTGAGGTATGGACCACAACTAAAAGGGAAAAAGCTAACCGATGATGAGGTGCGCAAGTTGCTGATAATGGCGGACATAGATGCTTCTTTCCTGGAAAAGTCTGGTGCTGAGCTCTCTGTGGGTCAAGCTCAAAGAGTTGCACTTGCCAGGACTTTAGCTAATTCACCAGAGGTAACAGTCTAACACTAACGCCTAGTTGATATATATATAATCATGCATGAAAATATTGGCTATGCGTTTCTTGCTAGTTTATGGATTTTGTGTTTTGACTCGGGCGATTGCTGATTTATTTGTCTTTTAACAGTATTCTCTGGTTGTATTTGTAATTTGGTGTTTTTTGAAGGTTTTGCTGCTGGATGAGCCAACTAGTGCGTTAGATCCAATATCCACAGAAAACATAGAGAATGCCCTGATGAAGCTGAACAAGACTCGGGGCATGACAGTGATCATGGTCTCTCATAGCATCAAACAAATCCAGAGGATAGCTGACATAGTGTGCCTGCTCGTTGATGGTGAAATTGTTGAAGTTCTTAGGCCTGATAAACTCTCTGAAGCCAAGCATCCCATGGCACAAAGGTTTATTGAACTCAGTTCTTAGGGGGTCCTAACCTAAGTATTGTAAAATTCTGTCTCCACTTACGGGGTTTAGAACTATGAGTATGTCGTTGAAGACAATTCTTAAAGCCAAGATGATATACTTGCTTATTTATATATGTTGCTTTCCATTAAGGCAGGTTGATCACATTTTCCACTTATAGAAATGTGATATTGCAGGATGTCATCAACCTGCAATACTTATAGATGTCCACATATGCCGGAGGAGTAGTTATACTACTGATTTACATGTAGTGGCTGTTAGTGTATAATAATGGGAATGGTCAAACATTAGGGTTGATATTTTTTTTTCTAATTAATTGGAGGAGTTAAATGTGTAAGGAAAAATATTAATGAGTTTAAATTACGATTTTTTAAATTAAACTAATGACGAATATTTTCTTATCTATTCACTTTAAACATAAATTCACTTTGTAAGAATTTTGTCCGGTAGTTAATTGATGAATGTCGTGAATGACATGGAGCAATTAAATGAGAAAAAAGAGAAAGAAATTGATTCTGGTGAGTTTCATAAAAAAAAGGTTGAGGATGATTTTTGGAAAAGTTGGGGCTATAGTAACAAACAAGGGTTTTATTAATCTCATGTTAAAGGAGATAAGTTATTTCATGTAATAGAGATAAACTTGTGGGCTTCACCACCTGAAAAATAAAAAGAAAAGAAAAAAAAAAGATGACACAGTTATCAAAGGGTGTGTAAGAGAAAAATTTATCACATGTAGCATAAGAGTAGTTTTTCCCAGCAAACAATTGCATACCGTTTTTAGTTCCGAGGCTTTGGAAAGAGAATTAGTGTATGAAATAACACTACTATTGTAAGTATTATTACGAGGTGTGGCTTAACAAGAAACATTTATTTATGAGATATATTTCTCTTGATTTATAATTTTCATTCGAAATAACACAGCTCGTTTAAGCATTATAACGAGATGCGGCTTATTAATAAACATTTTTTTTGGATGAAAATAAGAAACATACATTTATGAGATATAATTACGGGTGTTTGCAAATTAAAAATTTGGCTAAGAATTTAATGAATTTATACTAGTTTTAAAAAAGTTAGCCAGTTAAGATTTGCAGGCATACTTTTGACGTTTTCTCTTAATTTAATTTTAGGGGCTTTTGGCAGGGAAGTTTTTTTGTAAATTTCAGGAAAACTGATATTGTGAGTTCTGTTTATTCATATGTGGTACAAAAATTGTGAATTTTTTTTCTCAAAATAGTCAGATTCCCAAAAAGGCCAATTCAAAATACCACTGGGTGGGTGGCATTTTGAGATTTCCACCCGATGGGAATGTTTTTTTTTTTTTTTTTGGGACATAATTAACCGTATCTCTTCTTCTTCGTTGATTTCTGTTTCTGTCATTATCTGCTCATCCTTTAAACACTGTTAATGTTCCGTGATTTCTACTTCTGACCCTTAATCGTAGCTAATAGTACTTGCACCGGCACTGGTTGTTGCGAGGCTTCTATCCCCGAGGAACTATCCACTATCGTTTTTAAATCTATTAGCACACAAAATAGACACACTACTGTACACGACTTCAATCCATGTGATCATGCGTTTTTGGTCGAAGAAGGAGCTTACAACTCGTGTCCACAGAAATTGAAAACTTGCGGAGGACAATGTTTTCGGTGGTGGTGGATTGGTCGTAGTAGATGGTAATGTCTAGCCCATATATATATATTTTTTTATTTTTTTATTTTTTTTTATGGGCCTAACATCTATTTATGTTTACAGGAAAGCCGTTTACAATTTTTTTTTATAAATTTTTACAAATTATACTATTTCCTCCCGAAAGAACATAGTGTAAGTAGTGTTCTCCCAGGAGAAAATAGTGTAGTTTGTAATAATTTGTAAATATAACATGCCCCTATGTTTATATAGGAGATGATTTTTTTTTTTTTTTTTTTTTTGCTAAGCATAATTTTATTTCTTATAATATGAGAAATAACCTTTTTCTTTTGTTTCTCCGGAAAAATAATGTCAATAATTAACTTTCCATATTTAAATCTAATTATTAAACACACACAAAAACTATCATTTTCTTCTTTTTACCTAAATCTCTTTTTTTCTTTATTTCCGAGGAATTCAAAGTTCGAAAATTAACTTGCATTTACATGGCCAACTTACCATTTTGATTGATTTGGGATACAGATCGCGTCAAGTGGAGCCAAATTTATTTCCTTTTTGTTTTACAAAAATATTTTCCTATTTTCCATTCTGTAAAATATTTATATTTCCACACTCTCTCATTTTAAATGATAAATATTAAAATTATCAACTAATATATTATTATAATTATTAATGATAATATCTAGTAATTGATGATTATTAATTTATCTTAGACTTTAATTAATTTATACCGTGAACAATTACTTTAAGTAATTAGTAATGGTAATAATTCTACTAATTATTAATTATTAATTAGTGTTTTCCAATTTAATTATTGAATATTAATTGTATAAATTGATTATAATCAATTAATGGATTTACATAATATTTTTATTAAAAATATTTAGTTATTAGTAATGATAAAAAATTATTAATATTGTTATAAAAAAAATATTAATATAATCATTAATAATTGTAAAAAAATATTAATTAATAATATTAATTATTTATTATTTGAATTATGTGAGTTTTGGAAAGATGTATTTTAAAGAAAGAAGAATAATAATTTTTTTTTAAATAAAGAATAGGGGTTGAGACTTGAGTTAATAGTGTTGCAAGGGAGGAGGAGGACTTTTCCCGTTTTCCGGTATTGTCGATGTACATACATCGATACTCAAATTGGAAAACTTTCTGGACTTACAGAAAAAGATATGGATTGAAGTATAATATATTATTTTTCTAATTAAAAAAAATGAAAATACTGAATTCAGTACTCTCGTAATGTTAAAAAAAAAAAATTCGGAGAGGAGGTGGTGCAATTGCACTTGTAAGGAATTTTTTGTACATTAAAAAAAAAAGTAAGAAGAAAAGTCATAGCCTCGTAGAAGATGGAGGAACAGTAACCATTTTGTCACGTTTGTACACAGTGTAGCGAATTACTTGCATGTATAATTCGCTACACTGTGTAGCGAATTATACCGCGTGGCATTTTGACGAAATTTACTGTTAACGTGACAGTCTGATAATTTTTTTGTCCAAACGTGACACATTGATCACTGCCCCAGAGATGGATGGGTACCAAAATGACCACTTTAATTGGAAAATATATTTCTAATCACCGCATTTGGAGGTGTGTTTATTTATTGGAAAATATTTTTTTTATGTTATAAGAAAATAATTATTTTATATTATAGAAATAAAATTATAAAAGAGATTCACATTTAAAATAAGAGGGAAAAAAAAAATGAGCGGCAGGATTCACTCTTCTTTTTACGTGTGCAAAAATTATTTCTCTCGTAAAATCAGATAAATATAAGTCTTATTTATTTACTTATTTAATTAAAGGGTCTGTCCAATATGATTCGGACAGCACCTTTTCCTTTTCGTCTTTTAATACATGATTCTTGATCAGAACTGTGATCACTGCATAAACCACAAACTCAAAACACTCACGACTCAACAATGCTAGATCCAGCTACTGAATTGGTGCCACCACCATCTTCACCAACTAACTCTTCCATTTCATCCTCTGATCTTGACTCTCAGGTATCACTTTCAACTTCACCCAGTTCTTTTTTCTTTTTTCTTTAACTTTCCTTTCTTTACTAATTAATTTGATATTTTTATTTTTTATTTTTTTGGGTTTTGATAGTCTACGGGATCGTTCTTCCATGACAGAAGCACCACATTGGGTACTCTGATGGGGGTGAGCTTCCCAGCTATTGCCTTCAGAGCACCGTCTCAGCACCGGGACCCACATTCTCCCGCTGCCGCCACCTCCGCCTTGGGCGGCTCTAGGAAGGCGGCGGCCAAGTCCAGGAAGAAAACAAAAGTGAACGCGGTGGCCATCGTCGTGGCGGATCGGCGGAGGAGGTGGTGGCGGTTGTGCAGTGACGGCGACATGAAGCCGGCTTCGCTAGGTGAGTTCCTCGAAGTGGAACGGCGGTTCGGAGACGGCGCGTTTTACGGCACGGCGGCGGAGCTCGAAGGAATGGTGATGGATCCGCAGAGGAACCATGGGCGGGCGTTGTTTGCCGACGGGAGGATTCTTCCGCCTGCCGTCGTCGTCGACGACGGAGCATCGACTGCGGTGAGTCTTTGTAGTAGATTTCCGGTTTCTCTCACCGGGATTTGCAGCGGCGGTGCTGGATAAGATAAAGTTTGATTTTTGATTTTCTTTTCTAATAAATTAAAGAAATAGCAAAGATTGTAACCAAAAAAAGAAAAAGCAAAGATGATTAAATCTTTTAGGATTGTTTGGTTGTTTGTTTAATTGATTAGTATATTACGTTTCTTTTACCTGTGTTTGAGCGCAAAAAAGGTTTTTTGGCTTTAGATTTTCACTGTTATTTGGATAATATTTGTGGAAATAAAACTTTTTTAAAAAAAATTATATGGCTTAGCCTAAAATGAGAAAACAAAAATCGAAAACAACGTGTAAAACTATTAATTTGTATGTACATCTTTTTTGTAAAAATATGTTGAGATCCCATATGTCATCTTTGAAAAGATTTTAAATATTTTCATTGTTAATCTTTATACTTTGAAAAGAAGGGGAGAGAGGGAAAGAGAACAGAAGCAGATTTTAACGTGGGAAAATCTTCTCCAATGAAGAATTAAAAACTTACGGGACTTAGTCCAGTTTAAACGTCTACTATGAAGATAACGGATACAAACAATCAAAATTCACCAAAGTGTTGATTAACACAATCTCTCCAACAATGATTATAATCAAACTTTCCTAGAGATGTTTCACTCAAACTCTCTCTAGAGATCTTTCAAATACAAAGCTCAAAGTTTTGCTCACAAATCTCTCAAATAATTTTTTTTTCTCAATCTAACCTTGTTCTCTCTAATCTTGCCTCCACCACAACTAATGAATATATATAGGAGGTGAAATCTAGGGTTTAGGGTTTTTAAAAAATGTCATAATGGGCTTGGGCTTAGTATAGAAGGAGGAAGCCTAACATTTGTGTCACCCAATTTATAAAAGGGGAAGTGATAAATGAATTGAAGCTTATTGCTATAGAGAAAGTTTAGGAACAGTGACCAAAATGTCACTGTTCATTAAGTTTTTTATTCAAATGCCATGCGAACAGTGTTATTTCCCAATATGCCACGCGGGCAAGTTCACTATAGTGCCCAGCAAACTTGGTAGCTAGTGATTTCGTTACACGTGGCACATTTTCGCAGGAAAAGTTAACCGCCACGTGTCCAAGTTCGTTACGACTGGTAGCGAACTTGGTAGCCAATGATTTCGTGACACGTGGCACACATTTGCAGAAAAAGATGACTAGGCAAAGTTCGCTACCAGCCTACCAGGGGTAGCGAACTTGGTGTGCTATATGGCACAATCTCGTTGCCCAATCAGAATTAATATTTCAATCACAATAAAAAACAGAAAACGAATGAAAATGACAACTAATTGTCATTAATGTATTAATCACAATTAATGTACGAATCACGAATCACAATTAATGTACCAATCACCAATCGCAATTAATGTATCAATCACCATTCACAATTAATTTTGATCACAATTAATGTACCAATCACAATTAATGTATCAATCACAATTAATTTTGATTGGTACATTAATTGTGATTGGTGATCGGAACATTAATTGTTTGGGATATTATTGTTACAAATTCGAACAATGTTTGTGAGAGATAAAACATGACAAATGAGGTGTCATTGAGTGGATCTCGAAAAATTATGTGAAACAAAATAAAAAATATCTGATCTGGATATCCGAATTAAAACTTATGGCCCTCCGAAGTGATTGGTGATTTATACATTAATCATGATTGATACAATCAAAAGTTAATCCTATTGGTATGCTAATTGTGATTAGTACATTAATTGTGATGGATGATTAGTACATTAATTTTGATTGATACATTAATTAAATAGTCATTTTCCTTCGTTTTTTTTTTTGTATTGTGATTGGTACATTAATTCTGATCGGACAACGAGATTGTGCCACGTAGTGCACCAAGTTCGCTACACGTAGTAGCGAACTTTGTCCATTCAGCTTTTCCTGCAAAAGTGTGCCACGTGTCATGAAATTATTGGCTACCAATAGTAGCAAACTTGGACACATGACAGTTTACTTTTTCTGCGAAAATGTGTCATGTGTAACGAAATTATTGGCTACCAAGTTCGCTGGGCACTGCAACGAACTTGTCCGCGTGACATATTGAAAAATAACATCATGTGGTGACATTCGGATAAAAAAGAATAGTGACATTTTGATCACTGTTCGGAAAGTTTAAGCGGATGAACGAAGCTAAGCCTTCTGCTATAGGAAAAAAATAAAAATAAAGGGGAGTCTTCTGCTGGTGATAAAATTGTAGTTGAGCCTGATTGTCAGGAAAGGGGGCGATTATACTATAGAGATGAATGAAGTAGAAGCTTATGCAGATAAAATTGAACTTGAGTCTTTATCCTTACAGGGGCGCACTCTAACTCTTCCCTGCTCCGTCACTGCTCACCGTTAAGCATATATATTTGGTTACGGAAAATGTCAAGTTCGATAGTTAGATCAAGGGAAAAAGAACTATCATTTAAAAGGACGTGTCTTTTTAGATGATTTACACAAAGTATGACCAGGTCATACTTTGTGTAAATTATAAAAGTTACTTTTTTTTTTTCTCTTCAGTCACAACTGACGTGTAAAGTGAAAAAAACAATTTTTCAGAATTATATAGAGTATGATCGGTCATATTCTGTGTAAGTCACTAAAAAACACAACTTGTGTCCTTTTAAATACTTTAAAATGACACACACTAAATAGATCAAATATGTTGTTGTTGATTGTTGATTTCCCGGTGCTTTGAAATTTACAACACTTAACAATAAGAGATAAAGAAACATGATTAGTCTCACATTCACTCAGGCTTTGTGTGCTTAGAATCCCAGTGCTTCCTCCATAATTCAACACCATAAAGATGGGTCAGCTATTTTTTGTGTCTGCAAAGAGTCAAATTCTTTTTGTCTACTCTTTTCTAAATCTTCTACTTGTGGAGTTTAGCTTCTCATATAAATTTTCATAATAAAAGAATGCTGTTTAAAATCTGGTAACAAAGACATCAGGGTGAGTTTAGCATTAGAGGAAACCTGCGATAGTTAAGGCTTCAAACTGTCTTAATAGGCGCAAATGAACATCCCACTTTGATTATTAGCTAATTATTATTGATTTCAGAACAAATATGAACATTTTCATTTCTGTAGGTTTGTTTTCCAGTTCAACTGTTAAAGCATATTTGATTCTGGCCTGAACTAGTTCTAACAAGTAACAACAGTTTCCCAGATAAATAGAACTAATCTACTCTACTCTTATTTGGAAAGAGAACCACATTTCTATTAGAGAAGCGACCAAAGAGAAGGCAATGGCATTTTGGGTGTGTCTGAAGATGCAAAATGAGCATGATGCTGTATCAAGGCATTGGCTCTTTTCCATATTTTAGAAAAATGAAATGCTACGATTACTCCCACCCAGTCAGGGCTTTAGAAATAAAAAAGACAAAATCTTGCTTTTTCTTGAAGGAAAACTCCTATAATTGATACATAAACAAGCTATGGAGATTGCAGGGAAGGATTTACATGAGAATTATTTCCTTTAGATTATAAGCCAATCATGCATCTCAGATATTTTGGTTATGCGAGTGGCGCAAGATGAAAATCATATGGACTAAATCTAACCTGAGCGTACAAAAAAATCCAATAATTTCTACCAGATAAAATGAAGAAAATTGAGACAAAAAGAACATTTTATCTTCATTTATGGAGTTTCATCAATGGTCTCCAGTGCTGGTCTCCAAGATCTCTGCTTTGAGTACCTTTCAACTGGCTCAGGCTCAGGCTCACTCACCGCCAGACTATCAGCTTCTGATCTCTTTGTCTCTGAAGGAAACATACAAAGCTCACTAAACACTGGAAAAATCTTTGCCAAATTGTTGAAACTACTATGCTTCATTGCCCTGGATGCTTTGTAATTAAGAGAGCTCATTTCTTCATGAGTTAGCACGGAGTATAGCAGTTCCATTGGTAGAAGGAAGTAAAATTTGCGCCTTTCAAGTTCTTCATCAGCTAAGAGCCCTTGAATACGGTGACCTACTTTGAGGTAGCTGGAGTCACAAACAAACTGTCCAGGGTATTCTAGCATGAGTTCTGCAGCTCTCATTGGTTTTGTATATGCCTCTAGTCTCCCATCTAAGTATAGGACCTTAAAGACCCCATTGGCTATCAAGGAAGGAGTACAAGAAGCAGCATTGCCCATTTCTTAAACAGAGACTAGGGGTTTGAAAAATGGGTACTTGCAATTCCCCCTTAGAAATGTTGGCAAGTTAGAGCTGAGGAGGTAAACAGCTTCTCAGAATGTGACTGTATATATTAGGCAAGCTACCTGTCAGTTAAGAAAGAAAGAAAGAAAAATAGTTGATTGTCTTTTTCTTTCTCAAGGTCCATAGTTGGGTAATCAGTTGGTATATCTTTACCATATTTTTTATTTTATTTCTTTAATACTCAAGTTGGTCATCCTTTGAGTGGTATGTCTTAGGAACAAAGTTACATCTCTGGCAGCAGGTTTGTTTTATGCAGATACGAAATTAAGAGAAAGTAGGTATGTATCTTTGAGCATTTTAAGCATATAATCTATGTTTCTTGCGTCACTTTAAAAGCCATCTTTTTTTAAATCTAGATTAGAAAAGCCACAATAAAGGAAATATGGCCAACCTGGCAAATTTGGCCTTTTTTGACTTCAAACGCATGGAAAATTCAGTGCACATAACTTTCCAATTGGTTTAATTTTGTATTTCTGAGTGTCTTCTAGCTAAAAGGATAGGAGACTAGTTTATTGGGGTTGCACATGGAGAGGGATGGACAAAAGGCTAGCCGACAAAGATAACCTCAATTAAGGACACCACCAAACTAATGATTAGATATGGTACCAAGTAATTTATCTGATTTTATTCCATTAACAACGGCTTCAGCTAATATTTTCTATATTACACATGCACTTTATTTTGGATGATAGCCGTATGCATTTGATGGCAAACGTCAAATCTTTGCTTGGTATGTAGTCACCATCCAATGCTAGCTTGCAATATATTCCCATGAACTCATAATATATTAAGTGCAAAAACATTTCTCTTCTTACACCTATAGGGTCTACCAGTTGTCATGAGCTCTGCCATATTAATATTTTCCACATAATTATTGGCCGAACACGCAATTAACTATATAAACAGTCTCAAATCTTAGGAAATAATTGAAAGAAAATCAATCATTTTGGCATTTGTTATTGTTGGATCAAAATCAAATAAATGGCTCTCATTTGATGTTGTTTTGTAACCATTGATTTGATTTTGATCCAACGATAATAAGATTGATAATGAGAAATGATAAGAAAAAATGGCTATAAATATAATCTCTCTCTAATTTTCATAGGGTGTTTTCATATAATAAATTTCTTGGGAGAGTAGGTGATTAAGACCAAAGTCATTGGGTATAGAATTGATTGACACAAGTTGGTATAACAGAGTGAGAAGTATTGAATTTGTTTGCTTAATTAACAAATGAAGAATATTAAGTAGGACAACTAAATGATTAAGTTTCGTTTTGGACTTAGCAAATAATCAGTTGTTAAAGAGGTTGAATGTTTGATTTGATGGGTTTTCTGCTTGTTTCCTATTAAACAGAAGGAATGATAGCCAAGCAGTGGTTCGGTTGTTGCTGAGATGGTTGGCATCAACAACAGCAAAGACACAGTGCACAGTGTTAGACAACTTGCTTTCATTGCTCATTTCTACAAGCCACCGTTTGTTTATGATTGGAATGAACATATATAATCCCAAATGCAAAACATACCAACTTGCTTACTGCATGAAACTTTGCATAAGAAAATCGAAGAAATGAATAAAAAAACAACAGAAAAATATTTCTACAATTATGCAAATAAGTTATCTGCATTTATTTCCAAAACAATGCCGTTTTGTGATTGAAATTGTTGTAAATATTTGTTATTTTATTATTATTAGTATTTGTTGTATTGGGCCAAGCCCATTAGGTCAAGTATTAGGGTTTTCATTATCTATAAATAGAGACCTCTTTGTATAGATTATTTACACAATTCAATAATATTTCAAATACCATTTTCTTTCAAGTTGGTATCACAGCTCTCGATCCTGAGGGCTCTGCTTCCGCAATTACCGCTTCTCCTTTCCTTCTCTTGCTGCCAATCAGCCGCCACCGGGAATTTTTTTCGGGGACTTTTTTTGGACCGAGAGGACCTGTTTTCAAACCTTTTTTCTCTGATCTATCAGTCTGCGAACCTTTTACAATCAATTGACGGCCGGATCTCTTAAGAACGACTCAAACCCACTACTGTTCATCACTGGAACAGTACTTTCTGGTGACCGTTTGGACTCTGCTCAGCCACAGAAGGGACCGCCACCTCCGGACGACCTCACGGTGAAAATCCCAGCTCCGGCGGCCGCCGCACGCGCTCCCATGCGCTGCCACACTCCCGGCGAGTGAGGCCTACTCGCAGACACCTCCACCGGCGCGTGGAGGCGCGTGACTGCTTCTTTCCAGCTCCGGTCAACAACGTTCTGATCGTCTCTTCATCCTCTTTCTGGATCTGTAATTTTTTCTCAGATCGGACGTCGTTTGGTATTTTTTCCGTATTTTTTGGATACTTGGTGCTATTCTTTGACAAGTTTTGTGCAGTATGGCCTCTTCTCAAAGGAGTTCCTTTACCAAGTTTTCTGATGGTGCATCTTCTAGAAGAGATGATCGATGGTGTTCTTATTGTAAAAGAACAGGTCATATCAAAGATCTATGCTTTCGCCTCCATGGAAAGCAAACTGTCTTAGAAAAGATGGCAAGGTTGCGTGGTCAAGCACATTTTACTTCCTCTGAAATAACTCCTGCACCTAATAAGACCCAACCTGCATTTCGTCCAGAAGAGTTGGAACGGCTCCGAACCATTCTTGATTCTATGAGTAAGCCATCTGATACTAGTGCTTTGACTATTACTGGTATGAGCTCCAAAACTTATTCTTTCCTTTCTTTATGTAATGATTTTAAACATTCTTGGGTTGTTGATTCTGGTGCTACTGATCATATGGCTTGTTGTGCTGACTCCTTTACTTCTTATCATCCTACCATTGGAACTCATACAATAGCCGTAGCTGATGGCTCTCATACATCAGTTGCGGGTTCTGGTGACATAAACTTACAGCAGTCCTTACATCTTAAGGATGTTCTTCATGTTCCTAAACTCTCCACGAATCTTCTTTCTATTCATAAAATTACAAAAGATTTGAATTGTACTGTAACCTTCTATCTTACCCATTGTGTTTTTCAGGATCTCGCCACGGGGAAGACGATTGGTAGTGCTAAAGAGCAAGGTGGACTGTAATATCTGGTGTCACAATCTCCTGCAAATAAAGTAACAGATCACATCTTGATGTCTCATGGTCAATCAACTGCTGATTCTTTGATTTGGCTTCATCATAAGCGCTTAGGTCATCCTCCATTTAGTTTACTCAAATCTTTATTTCCGTCATTGTTTTTGTCTAAGTCTGTTGAGTCTTTTCATTGTGATGTTTGTGAATTTGCTAAGCATCATTGTGTGTCTTTTCCTTCTAGTATTACTAAGAGTATTGAACCTTTTGATCTTATTCATTCTGATGTTTGGGGTCCCTCTAAAGTCCCTCATGCTTCAGGAAATAGATGGTTTGTTTCTTTTATTGATGATTGCACTCGTGTAACTTGGGTGTACTTAATGCGTGAAAAGTCTGAGGTACCACAACTGTTCTTTCAATTTTATAAAATGGTTGAGACCCAGTTTGGTAAAAAAATCAAGAGACTAAGAACAGATAATGGTACTGAATATGTTAATCGTAGTTTTTCCCAATTTATAAGAAATAACGGTATGATTCATGAACTTACTTGTGTTGACACCCCCCAACAGAATGGGGTTGCTGAAAGAAAAAATCGTCACATTCTTGAAGTGGCTCGTGCATTAATGTTTCAGACACATGTACCCAAATACTATTGGGGAGATGCTATTCTTACTGCAACATTCTTGATCAACCGTTTACCCACTCGGGTACTTGACCATGTAAATCCTATTCACTCTATGACTTCTTTTTTCCCTTCTATTCCAACTATGAGTCTTCCTCCACGAGTGTTTGGGTGTGTTGCTTTTGTTCATGTTCATAAACATCATCGCAGTAAGTTGGACCCTAGGGCTATTAAATGTGTTTTTCTTGGTTATGTTCCTGATAAGAAGGGCTACAAGTGCTATCACCCTAGTAGTAGGAAATTTTTTGTTTCTATGGATGTTACATTTCAGGAATCTGAGTCCTTTTTCCAAGGTCCTCATCTTCAGGGGGAGAATCCTTCACCAGAAATCTCATCACCTCCATTCTTTGAGTTTGAATCTTCAGTGTCTACTCCTTTACCTGTGTCAGTGTATCCTCCTCTTGGTCCTGTTCCTCCTGTGTCTGATCCTCCTGTGTCTGATCCTCCTGTGTCTGATCCTCCTGTGACTGATTCTCCTGTGATTGATACATCAAGTACACCAGAGATACGGAAGATTATGACACCTGAAAGAAGGAAACAACCCACATTGTCTCAGCAGCAACCTCAATCGTCTGAACCACTGGTAAGTCCTGAATCTCATATTTCTGATCATGATGTTAATACTTCTGATGACTTACCCATTACTACTGATTCTGATGATTTACCCATTGCTCTTAGAAAAGGAAAAAGAGCTTGTCCCAAGAAATCTTGTCCCTCTTGTACTCAATACCCTATCTCCCATTTTGTTTCCTCTGCTAATATTTCTGTGCAGCACAAAAGCTTTATTTCAGCACTAGACTCTATTGCAATCCCAAAATCAGTACATGAAGCCTTGAAAGATAGGAATTGGGCTCAAGCCATGCAAGAGGAAATGAATGTGTTGGAGAAAAATAAAACATGGGAGGTTATTGATAGACCTAATGGAAAGAAAGCAGTAGGGTGCAGATGGGTTTATGCCCTGAAATATAATTCTGATGGAACTTTTGAGAGATACAAGGCTCGATTAGTTGCCAAAGGTTACACTCAAACCTATGGCATTGATTATGAAGAAACATTTGCTCCAGTTGCAAAGATGAATACGGTGAGAGTCTTGTTATCCCTCGTTGCCCATTACAATTGGGATATAAATCAATTTGATGTGAAAAATGCTTTCCTCAATGGTGAGTTAGAAGAAGAAGTCTACATGGAAATCCCGCCTGGTTTTGATTCTGTGAAGGGAGAAAATAAAGTTTGTAGATTAAAAAGGCCTTGTATGGATTGAAGCAGTCACCTCGTGCCTGGTTTGGAAGGTTTACTAAGGTTATGATGACCTTAGGATACAGACAGAGTCAAGGAGATCACACTCTTTTCTTCAAGCACTCCCATAATGGGAAGCTTACTGTGCTCCTTGTATATGTTGATGATATTATTATCACAGGTGATGATTTTGTGGAGAAACAGATTCTGCAAACACGGCTTGCCTCTGAGTTTGAAGTCAAAGACCTTGGGAAACTGAGATATTTCCTAGGGATAAAAGTAGCTCATTCAAGGAAAGGAATTTTTATCAGCCAAAGGAAATATGTTCTTGATCTTCTCAAAGAAGCAGGAAAGCTCAGGTGTAAACCCTTTAATACTCCTATTGAGCAGAATCACAAGATAGGCTATGAAGAAGAGAGTCCTCCAGTTGATAAAGGACAATATCAACGACTAGTTGAGAAATTGATATATCTGGCTCATACTAGACCAGACCTAGCTTATGCTGTTAGTGTTGTCAGTCAGTTTATGCACGATCCAAAGGAGAAACACATGCAGGCAGTAGAGAGAATTCTGCAGTATCTTAAAGCTACTCCTGGTAAAGGATTGTTATTCCGACGTGATGGCAATCTCTCTTTAGAAGTTTACACTGATGCTGATTATGCTAGATCCGTGACTGACCGTCGTTCTACCAGTGGTTACTGCATGTTTCTTTGCGGTAACTTGGTGACATGGAGAAGTAAGAAACAAGATGTGGTCGCCAGATCAAGTGCAGAAGCTGAATTTCGAGCTATGGCTCAAGGTATTTGTGAGTTACTGTGGCTGAAAATTATACTTGATGATCTCAAAATAAAATGTGAGGGACCTATGAAGCTGCTATGTGACAATAAGTCCGCTATTTGTATAGCTCATAATCCGGTTCAACATGATCGGACTAAACATATTGATGTCGACTGCCATTTCATCAAAGAGAAACTTGATAGCGGGTTGATTACCACTCCATACATTCCCACTGGGCGTCAATTAGCTAATCTATTGACAAAGGGACTTCCTTCAGACAGATTTCAAGAACTTACTAGCAAGCTGGGAATGATAAATATCTATTCCTCAGCTTGAGGGGGAGTGTTGTAAATATTTGTTATTTTATTATTATTAGTATTTGTTGTATTGGGCCAAGCTCATTAGGTCAAGTATTAGGTCAAGTTTAGGTCAAGTATTAGGGTTTTCATTCTCTATAAATAGAGACCTCTTTGTACAGATTATTTGCACAATTCAATAATATTTCAAATACCCTTTTCTTTCAAGTGAAATATTAAAAAATATAATCATAAAGACTATAATAACCCTGAAATAAATTAAAATTACAAAAATACCATGATTTTCGTCCCAAAATAACTTCGTATTGAGTTTACTGGAGATAAGTTATTTGCATTAATCGCAGAAAAAGCAAACCCAAAAAACAAAGATGGAAAATAGGAAATTTTAAGGACCAAATAGATCGAAAACTTATTATACCAACATTCCAACTAGTTCCATGAAAGCCAATATTTGTAACTGCGTGGATAGGATAAGAATCTCCGGTCATTAAATCATAATCGGATAGATTAAAAATGATAAAAGAAGAGAAAAAAAATCATAATTATTCAAAGATGAATCAATTAATATAAAAAAATAAATAAACAAAACGACGTAATTTTTTGGATAGACGGAAATAAATATATCTGAAATATTTTTTTTTCTCTCTTTCTATATATATATATATATATATATATATGTGTGTGTGTTGTGAGATAGGATCTTTTGATAGTTGACACTGATGTCAAATAAAAAGTTTGACACCTCATTTGAAGGTTGTTTAATTAAGGCAGATCAACAATGTCATATGTTTATAAATCGAGTCGTTAGATTAAGGCAATATCAACGACTCTCAGATGAGGTGTCAAATTTTTTCTTTGATACCGGTATCAAATGATTTACTATATATATGGACAATACTTTTCTTATATTGCATAAGAAAAATATTATCTTTTACATTCATATTCTTTAAATGGGTTCCACACGAATTTTTTTTTTCTCATTGCTAGTTTTTTCTCTTTACTATTTATTGTTTGGGTAAGTGATAATACTTATTTTATACAACATAAGAAAAATATTATCTAATATATTGTTTTTTTTCTGTATTTTAAAGAGAAACTTGCGAATTTTTTTTGGCCTATATTTTAGTGTCTTCATGACAAATTGGCTACAGCTCCAACTTTTTTAAATATCTTTGGCCAACTCAGACTGAAATAAAACAAGGAGTTTAATTGTTGAAGTATTGCACTTTTTGGAGCAAGGAAGAAGGGCGGGAGGGGACTGATATTTCATGGAATTATATTTTTTTATGCAATAGAGATATTTATCTTATGTTGCACTTACAATTTTACGTGAGTCTCATTACCCGGAAAAAGAGAAAAAAATTAAAGTGAGACTTATATTTTTTTGAGTGTGTAGGAGAGAGTTATTGTCTCATGTGATATAAGATTAATATTCCTCATATTTCATATGCATAAGCTTAGGAAGAATAACAACATAATTTTAACAAAAGCAAGCTTCTAAAAAAGTGAACGAGGTTGGTCGGAATTGGTTAAGGATTAAGTTCATATTTATAATTAATAAGAACCGTAATTTTTTTCAAAAATTCTAAAAGAAATTGGAATTTGCGCTTACCCTAACCCCATCTAAATTATTAATTAAAAAACAAATTTCAAAAGAATAAAAAAAAATCAAATACTAAACTTTTAATAAATTGAAAAGTTCGATTGAATGTATCAACCAGCTTTGAGATTTGAATGAAAACAAATTTCAATATTTCATTAAGTATAAAATATATTTATTTAAAAGATAAAATATCGCTATATTCCTTACAAGTTAAAATATGAGTGTAAATAATACTCTAATCAAATTAATCAAATAATTGATAGATCGATTAAAAAATAATATATAACCCTAATGTTGTTTGGTACGAGAGTTATTGAACAAAATTTATTACGAATGTCTAATATATTATTTGTTTGGAGTACAGAATGTCTAATAATTAACCATGCTTGGAAAGAGCAAAAGAAAAGTAAAAATTCCACCAAATTCATTCATTAGAGAAATTTGGTATTAAATAATTTCTTTTATGTAAATATTTAGCATTTTTTTAAGGGTTATATTTCTCTTAAAGAGAGAAATCAAATTCCTACACATGTAAAATAAAGATGAGTTTCTCCTCTTTGTTTTTTTTACTCTCTTAATACTTGTGGGTTTTATCTATAAAGCACCGACACTTCAAAATTTCTGACGTGTCGTGTCCGACGCTTTCCTACCATCACCGACACTCAATACTCGTTACAAAGACTCAAAAAAGTTCAAAGGTTACGTTTGATTGCATTTTGAGTTCCAACTATTAGATTCGTTAGATTATGATTACGATTTTATTGCATTTAATATAAATATTTGAGATATATTATGCTTCTTTGCAAAATTGATGGGTATTATAAGTTTAGCTTTATTTTTTTGTTAAATTATTGAATATTAAATTTAATATATATTACATAAATTAAAAATATTACATAATATCGAAACATGTCCTAACGTGTTAAAATTTAACATTTTTTAAAATTAACGTGTTAAAATATCGTGTCATATCGTATTTCGTATCTCGTAGCGATATCCGTGCATCGTACGATTTCATTCGTGATTTTGTCTCGCACTCTCAGTTAAGGAAAAATTTAATACGCTCCAGGTCCACCACTTATTCAGTGGTCTCTTTTTTATAAATAGAAAATTTTCTTTCATTTCTACTCTTTTTTTTTTCTTTCCCTCTCGCACTTTTTTTTTTCTATTTTGGAAAAGGATCACCATAGTCCAGGCCCACTAAATACCTTCTCCTCGGTTAAGTAAGATAATTATGTAGAATGAAAAAATGATTTTTCTTTTTCTTAAAAGATATTTTATGAAAGTTTCTGGCTACAAGGGAAGAGTGGGACCCAACGCAATGGTTAACTGGCACGTATCGAGGAGCGGGAGCTAACAGCGCGTTTAGAGTGAAGTTGAACAGAAGAATCTCATCTCAAATGCGTTAACCTTCTCCACTCGTCCCCTGCAGCATATTCTTCTCCTTCCACAGGTATTCCTTATGCAACATGTTTGTGCTTATGACTTCATAATTCTTAATATGCAAAGTGCTTTATTTCTCTTTTCTTCAGGGATGGCTTATGTTCCACATGTAAATGTAAATGCAAATTGCAGCTTTTTATTCCAAAAATGTGCAATTTCCTATGTCGGTATTCCTGCTTTGTCCCTCTTGCAACCTCGAGTAAGAGCTTTAACATCTTTTAAGAGAGGTAAATTAACTACTCAATTACTTGTATAATTTTTGTTTTGCTTCATCGCACTTGTTGTTTAATATAGTAAGCTTCATAAGCAAGTGCAGAGTTCTTTCAATTTAACTCAAATTTGACAAACTGTTCACTACTAATATTATTTATTCTATTTCTCTGCTCAGAAATAAGAATGATGATGCTTCTTCATTAGTTTGGTTTCATTAATTTTTCTGCTATATGTTCAGGAACAATCGTTCCCCAATGCTTAAATGGAAAGAGGAATTTTACTTTACCAGAAAAGAGATTTAGTGGGAAGTTTTCAAAGAAAGAGAGGTTCTCTATCCTTAGAAGTAGTAGCTCTTCAAACTCTACTGGCACTACGGACGACCGCTCTGATCAGACAAAGGCACGTATGAGCGAATACTAATGTGATGATTTTGTAGGATGCTCTTAGCCAATGGCATTTGACTGAACTTGGCTATCAGCTTATATTTTGACCTTGAAACTTGAAATTTTTGACCCCAAATATATATGCTTAATGGTCATTTTCGAATTTACACTCTAAGAACTGTACAAAAACGTACAAAACAAATAGACAGTGGCTACTTTTCAGATGGTTGGAAAATAAAAATATTTTTCCACATTTTTTACGGATAGATATGGGGCATTTGATCTATTAGTGGTATGATTCTTGTTTTCAGATGGTTGGAAAATAAAAATATTTTTCCACATTTTTTATGGATGGAAATGGGGCATTTGATCTGTTAGTGGTATGATTCTTGTTTTTAAGGTTGCTTCTTTGTGACTAGAAGGCTATGAGTTTAAGTATAGAAAACAACCATTTTGCAAAAATATAAGGATAAGCTGTATACAATCAACCCGCCCCTACCCTCCCAAATTTGGGGAGCCTTTGTGTAATGGGGTTTTCTCTTTGAGGGATGAAAATGAATATAATTATTCTTTTTAGAGATTTCTTCTCTTGTCCGTAAGTATATGTATAATAGAGTTTGATCTTATAGACTCACTTCCTTCTTGTTTGATATGTTATGCTTTTGTCTTCTGAAAGTACAACCATTCACGTGGTGATTAATATTGTGTTTTGGTTGTTGAAATACGTTGAATAAATGGGGAATAGAATGTCTGCTTATGTCCTCATCTGATTTATTACAGAAAATTGTTATTCTATCGTCTGATACTTGCACTTAAATTCTCTGGTCACTCTATCGGTCTTGCAATTACATAAAATAAACAGGCATATAACAAAAGAAATCTGATGCTTATACTTTTTTGGATGTTTCAGAAGACACCATTTGGGTATACAAGGAAAGATGTCCTATTTATTGGACTTGGGGTTACTTTTCTTGGCATTGGGTTAAAAAGTGGACTAGAGGTACCTTGCTTTCTGCCCTTATGTATTCGTTGGAATATATTTCCGTTTTTTGGTTTCTTATATTGTTTCCTTCATCTTCTTAGCGCTTAGCTTATTCCAGTTCATATATGAGAAGTACATAGTCTGAAGGCTATTAACAAATGGGTCGGGTGCCTTGTGAAAAATAGAACTTAGCCAATGTGCCCTTCTTATAACTGCTTTCGCCCATGATGTGAAGGACACCATGTATATGCACTAATGCACTAGGATTAATCAAGCAACTGTTCTTGGTTCCTTTATGCAGTTTGCGGGAGTTGATCCACTACAAGCAGGAAATGTGGTTCAGCTGGTGCTGGTTTTGGGCCTCACAATTGGATGGATCTCCACGTATATCTTTAGAGTTTCAAACAAGGAAATGACATATGCACAACAACTACGTGACTATGAATACAAAGTGATGGAGGTACAATAATATTTTTTTTAGAGTTTCAAACAAGGAAATAACAAGGTTGCTTTTCTCTTGTTTTAAGCAAAATGAACTAATTGTTTTTTTGACTTACCACAAGAATTGCAAGTGCATGACTGGGTATTGGCAATGAAATTTCTTGGTCAACCTTGTCCTTTTTTCTGAATCTTTTTCTTTATCTTGTAAATTGATAAAAGGATTTCTATCTAGTGATATGATATCATACCATTTTCCTTTAAAAAATATGAATGAAATTAAAAAAAAAAAAACAGTGGTCCTTCAATTGTTGAAATTGAGTAGCTTAAAAAGAAATGTAATCACAATGTACTGGTGCTGCTACATTAGCTGGCTATAAATAAAATGGTGTCCTAAAATTATTTACAGTAATTTGAGGTGGCCAAACTTCAGTCAATTGGGTAGTAAACCAGAAAATATCATTCATCAATTGTTCTGTGCCTTATCATTTCTTATAGAACATTTTACGAAGCATGTTGCTTTTTTTTAGCTACTGCGTGTCAAACAGCTGCTGTGTGTTTGCATTGGTTATGATACTACTACACCTTTCTATTATTGGAGAAACTGTTCTTTATAATGCCCAGGACTAAAGAAGAGTTGGATAGATGCCTAACTTTCTTAAAACGTATTACATTTTTCTTTGATATGTCGAGTAATAAGTCCATTGATAAATACCTGTGGTTGTAGTTCAAAATTCTCAAATTGGGAGCAGCTGCATTCCATATGACACAATCTTACTCTAATTTCCTCTTTTGAACTGAGCCTGAAAGTCTGAGACACATTCAGATATCCCAAAAAAATGTGTTATTGTAAAAAATTTCTTTCCAAACATGATTGAAGCTTGAAACTTGGGTCTGCAATATGTCGTGTGTTCACATTATTTCACAATATAACATGCCATAGAATAATTTTGCCTCTATTGAATCTACAGAAACGGTTGGATTCCCTAACTGAAGCAGAGCTAGTAGCACTGCTTGAAGAAGTTGAGGAAGAGAAAAGTCGCTAGCTAGTGGTGCGCAGGTGAATTGAAGTAGCTTGTTTGTATATATACACTGGAGTTTTACCACAGTAATTGAAACAGAAATTTTAATCTATATGGAACTAGTTCAGAAAGGTTCATAGCTTCAGTCTACTCACAGATAAAAGGATGAGATTTCTAATCCATAGTATTCACAAAAAATTCCTGGTGGAAGTAATCTGTAAGGTACGATGATAATGCTTTTAAATTCATATAATTTAGCGGCTGTTCTTAGTGCCGTTCACCATTGCACCTCATGTCATGATGGAGAATGTTGAAGGTGAGTTTGGATTTTGGCCTGGAGCCATTTTCCTCATACCCAGAACTGCTAACTCCAAGAGAAAAACGAACTGCACATCCTTTAGGTACATAATTACCAACAAGTCAATGGGACCACTTGAATTGGGATGAAAACATTTGGACAATTGTGAATCTTAGCAATACGTACTCTGCACTGCCCTTTATTCGAAACGATTGTGTTCAAAATAAATAAATAGATGTTTTTTTTTTTTGGTAATCTGATAAATAGATGTTAATTCCATAGAAGGACTGCTCTAAATTTGAATATTTCCATTGTTTCTTCTTTCTGTGTACGTTCTTCCCCATTTTTTGAGAATAATATTTGGAATAGAAGTAATGACTGAGGAAAATGTCTTCTGAAATGAACAAAAAAGTAAACCTCTTTCTGGCGTTTGCTAAGGTATTGATTGATAATTATCATATCCAGATTGATATTGAAATGCTTAAGCCAAAATTATTGGTCATGTACCAGAACCATTCACGTGCTGGAACAGCCCCTAATTCATATATCCCTTCCCTTTTTTGCATATATGAGGGAACCATTCACGTGCAGGTTTGAGGGGACCTTTGACCCTTAAACTACCTTAAACTAACTGTTGAATATCATAGATACAAGAGGAATTGATAGTAATCCTTGTTGTATTAAATTACACAACATTGGTGCTATTATATAGCAAACCAATTGAAGAATACAAAGAGACACACTCAATGTGGGACTTCTATACTATTAACACTAACACTCTTAACACTCCCCCTCAAGCTGTAGCATATAGATCATATGCTACAAGCTTGATACATAAATAATACTCCCATTAGGAACCAAAAACAACAATGCTACATCAACGAAATGAAATGACCAAGTACAACAAATCAACTGGAATGACCATCAGTGTGAAGAGCTGATAAAGAGACAGTGCTGAAATGGACATCAGAGCATGGATGGTGCCGGAATTATCATCGGCAAAGACAACTGAGCTGACCAGGACATCGGCATCAAGATCCTTCTCAGACATTTCATTTAACAGTTGGTGAGCAGCCGTGGTTTCCCCTTGACTATACTACAAGCTTATTACAAGAAAGACCAAGTAACATAATATCAAAATAAATCTCCTAAATGAGAAACCAAAAATCAACAATGTGCTAAAAATGGCGTCGAAATGAACATCAACATGGAAGATGCCGGAATGATCATTGACAAAGACAATTGTGCTGGAATGACCATCAGCAACATTGACAGTGCTCCCCCTCAAGAGGAACTTCTAAACAGTGCCGGAATTATCATCGGCAAAGACAATTGTGCTGGAATGACAATCAGCAACATGGACAGTGCTCCCCCTCAAGAGGAACTTCTAAACAGTGCCGGAATTATCATCGGCAAAGACAATTGTGCTGGAATGACCATCAGCAACATGGACAGTGCTCCCCCTCAAGAGGAACTTCTAAATAGTGGCAGAATTATCATCGGCAAAGACAATTGTGCTGGAATGACCATCAGCAACATGGATAGTGCTCCCCCTCAAGAGGAACTTCGGTATCAGCGGAGACAACATCAGCAACTTGGACAGTGCTTCCCCTCAAGATGGATGATGAATAGTATAAATACTCCATCTTGGGAAGAAAGAAGATTAAAGAAAAACAAAGCTTCGCGGAATCGAAAAAGTCGCCGGAGACGGCGGTGGGTCGTCGGAAAAGTCGTCGGAGACGGTGGTGGATCGCCGAAAAGTCATCGGAAAAGTCACCGGAAAAGTCGCCGGAGACGGCTGTCAACGGTGGACGACGCGGTCAACGGTGGTCGGTCAACGACAACGGTGGTCAACCCAACAACTTCCCAAGGATCATTCTTTTCTGATGTGACAGATCAGTCTAAGCTGCAGTCACAGAGCATACTAAGAAAAACCCGAAAAAGAAATAGCAACGGGAATCCCTCAAGGAGGGTGATATCTCTCTATAACCATATTGAAATTATGGAAAATAGAACTAAGTTAAACGGATTAAGATTCCTCTTGTTAGGCTCTAGATACCATGTTGAATATCATAGATACAAGAGGAAATGATAGTAATCCTTGTTGTATTAAACTACACAACATTGGTGCTATTATATAGCAAACCAATTGAAGAATACAAAGAGACACACTCAATGTGGGACTTCTACACTATTAACACTAACACTCTTAACACTAACAAAAGAAGCAAGCACAGAGGGGACCTTGCAGAACAAATTCAGCTCATTCTAAAATCCAAATCAAGGCAAATAATGCCACGCGGTACTGAATTGCGTACAAAGCTAACAATGGACCCTTATTGTTTTCTTTTTCAATTTCCAGTTGTTGAGATATATAGTCCCACATTTAGTTGTATGTGCAACTAATGTGGAGTTTATAAGACCTTGGGCACTCCCACCCTTAGAACTAGCTTTTGGGGTGGTGTATCGCAAGGTTCTTTACATGGTATCAGAGCCTCGCCGCTCCTCACTTTCTCTTGTGGAGTATCTTAGCACAGGTAGGCTGGGCCTGTTGCATTGTCCACGCTTCAAGCCCAAAAGGCTCTCGTGTGATGTGGCGTGTTGAGATATATAGTCCCACATTTGGTTGTATGTGCAACTAATATGGAATTTATAAGACCTTGGACACTCCCACCCTTAGAGCTAGCTTTTGGGGTGGTGTATTTCAAGGTTCTTTACACCAGTTGTTACTTGAACAGTGGAAGCAGCATCTTTTTATTTGTGTTCAAATTTTGTCCTGTAAACTTGTAAGAAAACTCATGCAGACATTTATATTTTTTGGGTTTAATGAGTATAATGTTGCATGATGTAAGAAAATTTTCTTACATTCACAATAAAGAGGATAGAGAAAGTGGAATAATGAAAGAGAAAAAAAAATATATAGACCCCACCTCTTAGTTATATGTGTAAGAAAGTTTTCTTGGGTCATATAATATTACACTAGTACAACTCTTAATTTTTAGTAATAAATAGAGAGGGAAAACTTTTTCTCATGTTGCATGAGAATTCAACTCTCATGTTAGTGACCCTTCGATTTGCGTGCAAAATTTTTCTTTTCTTTTTCGTTTTTTAATAAATATGGGACCCACCATTAATTGAGTCACAACATGAGAATTAAATTCGAGAAAATCAAATCCCAGGAATAGCTAATGCCAAAACAATAGGACTCATTAAAGTTGCTCGCTGTAAATACAACATAAACTTACGTGTGCTGTGAAACTCTCTGAAGTTTTAATAATGCGGCCGTATTTAAAGGGGAAAAGAAATCCTGCTATGACACTTGGCACAATAATTTAAACGGAGACTTAAAATAAGAACGATATTATGTGTAATTGGAAAATTAAAAAATTCAAATGAAAAATAAAAAAATGAACACAAAGGAAAAAAAGAAGAAGAAGAAGCTTACTTTAGTGTTGTTTTTTAATTATGAAGATCTGACATCTGATGAGTTGAGTGGCAATAATTAAGGATTACTTTTCTATGACTCGCAAATGTACTTCAATATTTAATATAAACAATATATAGTTGAACATATTACATGAGATTTGTGTAGAACCTATATATAGAGAGAGAGAGATACACTTAATTCCGCTGCTCATTTATCGTAATCACACGGATTCTATGGATAAGATTTTGTATATGTTTCCCTCTTATCTATAGTTAATTACAATATTTGTTGGCAAATCACATCAAAAAAATAAAAAAAGAGATCAAAAAATCATTGTTCGGATATATTGAAGCACTATGAGGTTAGGTAAACATCTTCAAGATAAAAGAAGAAAAAGAGGTTACAAATTAATATGGTGGATCGTAGATGTCCAATCAAATAGCCGTGGGTCTTATGGGATCAATATGTTATCAGGTATTTATAAATGAAATACTTTAGAAGTTTGCAAATTATTGTATATTATGATTGACGGCATAGCAGACCGAAGTGTATGCATATACACCGAATACAATGACATGACAAAAATTAATTATTTTTTTTAAATTTCACATGATTTGTTAAATGAAAATTTTGTATTTATATCTATCAAGAATAATATAAATTATTAAAAAAATTCTTATCTAACACCTTAAATTTGTGGATTGAATTAGTTTTTTATATGGTATCAGAGTCTTTTTAATGATTTATATTATTCTCTAACACTTCTCCTCACGCAAGAGCTATTTGGATTTGATTGAACTTCTGATCTTATGGTTATTAAAGTTTTGATACCATGTAAAAAAAATCAGTTCAACCTAAAATCTTAATATGTTAGGTGAGAGCTTTTTTAATGATTTATATTATTTTATAACAATATCTCTCTTCACCTTTATTAAATAGGTGAATCTCAATTATCATTAACGAAGAAAAAGAGATACAAAAATGTCACATGAACTGGCTATTTGAAATTTTAATATGAGAAAATTCATTTACAGGAAATAGATCCTCTCTATAAAAAAATCATAATATTATCATGTGAAAAGATCATATTTATATAAAGATACATTAAAGTTATAATTTTATAACAATCTATTTTAATATTTTTTATATTGTATGTATGTACGGTTTACCATACATAGTAAACAGTTTGCTTGGTGGATACGTAATTGGTCTGGCTGTATACTGGAAACTGTTGTAAACCGTATTAAGCACAATAATACTTGATTGAAATTATCAGTGAGTTGTGTGCATAAGGTATGGTATGGCGAATCTTATCTTAGGGTAAATAATAGAATATGAACATTGGGTTCCCTTCCCTCCTTCCTACGCATGTCCTTCATTGAAAGTTTAAACAGGTGAAAAACTGACAGGTCAGTGCAGTGACAGAAATAGAGGCATCCAGATCACGCCACGTGTCCTTTTTCATCCCATGCTTTCGTCACACACACTTCCATTCCCATTAATATCATTCGTTTGAAAATTTCCTCATATTCAAACACCCAACCCAATCATTACAATTTATTCACCACAACACAACACAACTCATGTGGTTTTCTTCCTTTTACTACCCTCTATTTACAAATATAAATAAATAAATTTAAAATAAATAAAATAAAAACGTCACTCTCTCTCTCTCTCTCGCTAACGCTTCATCCGTACCCATGGCCGTTTTTCTTTCGCCCATCCCTCCCAATCCCAAACCACCTTTTCATCTCTCTCTGTTCTGAATTTCCATCTTCGTCTCCATATTCTCTCTCTCTCTATCACTCTCTCTCTCTATATATATATATTTATACATATTTTCTTCTTGTGCATCTCTATCTGTTTGTTCGTTTCAGTATTCACCCGCGTTTTCCATGGAGTCGGCGAAGATTGCTGGCTTCTCTCTGAAAACCCTAATTAGGCCGTGAAACCTACCTCATCGATCTCGTATTTCGAAAATGGCGATTGTGACGGGAGATCGCTACCTGGAGAAGCTGGTGCAGTTCGTGGAGAAACATGTGGGTCCTCTGGTCGAAGGAGCCTTGGTCCTGAAGCTTAATCCGGCGGGCCTTCACTATGTCCAATCCAGGCTGGAGGCACTGCACGAGCTCGAAAGCCTCTTAGCCGGCGCCCCCGTCGACTACCTCCGAGCCTACGTGTCCGACCTCGGCGATCACCGCGCCCTCGAACAGCTCCGGAGGATCCTACGGCTCCTCACCTCACTCAAGGTCGTTTCGGTGTTGCCCACGCCCGTTAGGGATCCCACGCCCTTGTCCTTCTTGCCGTTTGGGCGATTGAAGGTTCTGGAGCTCAGGGCTTGCGACTTGTCAACTTCCGCCGCCAGAGGCTTGCTCGAGCTCAGGCATACTCTCGAGAAGATCATTTGTCACAATTCTACCGTGAGTTTGAATTCCCGATTGTGATTATGGAATGATAGTTTCTGAATTGCTTTCTTCATAATTTATTGAGTGAACTGAGTCTAGGAATTTTGTGTATTTTAGAATGCTCTGCGGCATGTGTTTGCTAGCAGGATAACGGAGATAAAGGATTCTCCGCAATGGAACCGCTTGTCGTTTGTCTCTTGTGCATGTAATGGTTTGGTCCTCATGGATGAGTCTTTGCAGCTTCTTCCTGCTGTTGAAACACTTGACCTTAGCAGGAACAAGTTTGCCAAGGTAGATAATCTACATAAGTGTACGAAATTGAAGCATTTGGACCTTGGTTTCAATCACCTGAGTACATTTGCACCTTTCAGCCAGGTATGTGGTTAAACAGTTAAAGTATTCATTATCTGGTCCGGTCGAGATGATTACATCCAGTATTATATGCTAGACCTTGTATGTCTCGGATGATTTATATTTTGTTTGTTTTAACTGAGTATAAGTGGAATGCTATAGTTGACTTTATCAGTATCGTTGTAAAACTGGAGTTTCTTCTTCTTCTTCTTTTTATTGGGTTGTTTTGGTTTTTCTGAATCTGAAGTAATCTTTCATAATCTGGGCTACAAAATTGTAAGAATTTTAGTTTGGAACTTTTGGTGGATCTGTTAAAGGCCATTCATGGAATTGTTGAGACTTGAGAATAAAATCAACTGAAGTAAAATTCTATCCAGGTTATCCTTGTAACTTAAATTTTACTCTCAACATTTAACACCGTATGACATTGTGGGATTTTAGAAATTGTAAACTCGAATATAAATCGTTTTATTCATACTTTCTTGGTTGCGACAATTTTTTTCCCCCAGCCACCTTTATTGAGAATATTAGTTAGCTTGGTTATGGTTTTCTCTTAGATGTCAAGGATCAAACATCCCCAAAGCTTAAGTTATTAGATGCAGTCCCATGAATGTCTTTGTCTCAAGCAGCACACTGGCTATTTCAATGGATGGGATGTGGGTTTGGTGTCCCCAATTGGAGTTGATTTGGTTTGATTTTTTAAATTCAGGATAGGTTCTTCGTGTAATTACTGCGAGATTGAAAATTCAGTATTCTGCTGCTGATCCTGTGATGAGCAATCTAGTAATGGGTTAAGTGGAAGCTAAAATGGTGTGGGATCAGCTAAGATATGACCGTTTAAGCTTTGATTGACTTGTCATCCTTTGATTATCACTATTCTGCTATTTCTGTGGTTGTCTTTGATAAAACAATAATGATCCTAGTGGGCTTTTTGATACATTTATGTTCAGAGTATTTGAGGGTTAGTCTGAACGATCCTAGCATGATCATGACCGAACTATTGACCAGGTGGAATATAGATTTGAATGAAACTAACCTTGTAAACATTTGTTTCATAAATTATATTTCCAGAATCCAGATTTATTACTTGGGAGAGCCATTGCAAGAGTGGAATTCAAATCCTGCAGAGTTGGCTCAATTGAAGTTGTAAATATAGGTATAGAATGAGTTTCTGATTGCACATTATAGTGGGAAAAGTAAAGTTCATTAGGTGAGGGTTTATGAATGTTGTAAATGTCGTTTTCATGTTGATCACACCATGAACAAACATATAAGGAGTAGATGCAGACATGCCACACAATCACCAGGTTAGATCCTTAGAAATTGTTATGTTCCCATAATTAGCTGCCGTTATATTTATTTTGAGCATGTTCTTTTTTGTACTCCCTCTACACACTCTCTTCACAATGAGATTCAATTCATAGGAATCAAAATTAATGATTGCATTGACTTCCCCGGCTACATGTAAAGAACAGCTCGGTCCTCCGAAGTTAATCTGCTTGCAGTTCTGAGATTCATGGAAATATGGATTGACATTTTGGGACTGAAAGTTGAATGACTTTTGCTTGAGACTTCAAATTTATTGTCCTCAGAACTGGATATGGAATTTCATTGAAAATTCGTCTGTTTGTGCTAGCTAGTTACTCAGAATACTTAAATGCAGTGAAAGCAAATTATTTTTAGGAAAGTTCTTAATATCTTGTGTTTTAATTGCATAGTTATCAAATGCGAATTGCGGTCTGATGCGGCCAACCCTCAAAACCGCTATAGCGTTATTGCGGGTTGTGGTTGCGGAAATAGCGGAAAAAATATATTTATTAAAAAAATAAATTATATGTGTATATATATATGTGTGTGTGTGTGTGTGTGTAACATAATAAATTATTAAAAAATAATAACACTTACAAAATATACAAATAATAAAAAAAATTAAAAATAAAGGTAGAGTTGACATGTTACCTCTTAGCAATAAGTGTCCAAACTTTAGCTATAGTTGTACTACCTTTAGTTGTAACTATACTTTACTGATTTACCAGATTTATCTTAGTTACTTTAGTGTTTTACCTTAGTTACCTTTTAATGATGCATTCTTTTTATTTTTGGGATATAGAAATAGTTTTACCCACTATCACTATAACCAGGTTACTTGGTTACCGTGAATTGTGAATCACTTTTCTGACAAATGTACTTTTCTTTTCTTTGAATAAAGATAGTTTAGAATCTTTTTCTCTCTCACTTTTTCTCTTTCATCCGTTCTCTCTCACACAGTTTTTCTTTTTCTCCTTCATATGTTTTCTCTCTCTCTCTTACTATTTCTCTCATTTTTTCTCCTTTTCTCCGTCATCTCTCTCTCTCTCTCTCTCTCTCTCTCTCTCAAAGCTTTGCTTCTTTGTTCATGGCTTCCACATTGAACTTCAATATTATAAGAGAGAAAACGAGCGCGATAAAGAAAGCAAGAGAGGCAGAAGAGAGACACACAACAGAGAGGCAAAAAGGCAGAAAGAGAGAGTGGGTTAGGGTTAAAACCATAAAAAGATACTGTTGTGGCGAGCAACAGCCGCTATTGCGATCTGGTGCGGCGCGGCATGGATAGTTGCGGCGAAGCTCCTCCAAGCGCAACTGGCGCGGCTTTATGTTTAATTGTATGCCTTTCGTTTAGGAATCAGCTCTGGACTCATACCAATTTTGTTGGATCATGCAGGTTTCCTGTCATATTGTTAAACTAGTTTTGAGGAACAATGCTCTAACTACTTTGCGTGGGATTGAGAATTTGAAGTCACTAGAGGGACTTGATGTTTCCTACAACATTATTTCCAATTTTTCTGAGCTAGAGTTCCTTGTGGGCCTTCCATATCTTCAGAGCTTGTGGTTGGAAGGAAATCCTTTGTGCTGTGCTCGATGGTATAGAGCACAAGTATTCAGTTTCTTCACCAACCCAGAAAAGGTAAGTTTATATTGTTTGCTTTCACATACTCTGTCTCCATTTCTGTCTATTTGTTTGTAGCTTTGTGCTGCATGCTCTTATTTGAGGGTGTGATTATCCATGTGTCTGCTTGTCAGTGTTGTGTTATGCTATATTAGATTTGACTATACCTCAATTTCATTTTCAGATATCATTTAATTTCTGAAGTTTGCAGCATTTTTGGTGTAATATTATCTTCATATTTTTTTTTCCTTTTTAAATTTGGATTTTGTTCTTCCCCTTTGCTAAACTTACATATTTTCTTCTTTGTGTTGATCAGTTGAAGTTAGATGAGCAGGAAATAAGCACTAGAGATTTTTGGCAGAGACAAATAATTATTGCCAGTATGCATAAGCGACCTGCCAGTTTTGGAATTTATGTGCCCGCAAAGGATGAGCCTCTAGTGGAAGGGGGCAATGGTGGAAGGGTATGTAATTGGTGAAATTGGATATGTATCTGTAAAAATGAAAATAATAATTTATTTATTTTGCACCTTAGGTATGTTGCTAATTATTCTCATTTCTGAAAATTGTACCTGAGAGGCCAATTTCATCTGGACATGTACCTATCATGACTTTGAGAAGCGTAATACTTTCTTTTTTGATCTGCATAGAGATTAGCATCATAATATTCTTGTTTCCTCCTGCAGAGAAAGGCCTCTCGCCTTGCAAGTATTAAGAGTGAAGAAGAGATCACTAGCATATGTTCTGACGAGGAGTCTGTGTCATGTGCCAGTGAAATGCAAAATGGAGAGGATCCTGATTTATCTAATGAAGAAGCTGAAATAATGGATTTGATAAATAGAGTTGAAAATATGAAGAAAGAGCGTTCTAACCTTTGGTTGCGGGAATTTAAAGACTGGATGGATATTGCTTCTGATAAATTGGTAGAAACTAGGAAAGAAGGCAGAGCTGAATTGCATCATCGGAAAGAAAATTACATCAGAAACAAGACAAATGAGGAGCAGCAAGGTGGAGTTCAAAGATATGCTTCAGACTCTGTTTTAGCCTCAGGAGATGAGAGTAGCATGAATATTTTAGAATCTGATAGTTCTTTTGTAGATACGTCTGCTAGTTTTCATGGACAGCAGTACTTTGATTATAGAGGTTCGCTTGGTAATGCTAGTGGGGCCTCTCTTTCTGAATTTGGAGGAGTGGATGTGGAGCGTCTGAAATCTTTTTCACTTGAGGGAATTAGTAGTTCACTCCCACAATCTAAAAGTTCTCATTCTGACACCACGTCCAACCAAGGGGCACATAGACTGGCTGAAAATGTCAGCATCTCACCATTGACCACCATTAATGATATATCTGAGTCTCAGTCATCATCTGCATGTCCTACATCTCCTCCTCATTTTCAAGAAGACCTTCTTCATCGCCGGCAACACTTGATCGAGGAAATTTTGCAGTTGTCAGCAGATTCCTTTTCAGTGGCATCTTCTGATAGTAACACAAGCTGTAGTGAAGTTGATAACAGTGAATTTGAGCCATCAGTGCCTAAAGTTGATAATTTCCCATGCAAATTTTTTATGAATGAGAGTGTTGATGGTAATATATCTCAAAATCAACTCAAGGAAAAGTCTTACAACCCAAGACAAGGAATTCCTCATGCAAAACAAAATGGCATATGTTTATTTGGTTCATCCAGTGACCAAACTTCTAAGCAGCATTCAATTGATTTTACTGCTGGTGCTGACAATGGTGAGAGTGCTTTTTCTGCCAGTCGAGATGCTGATTTGTTGGAGAAAAGAAAAATCAGAAAAAAAGCCAAGAAGAGAGTTATTTCAATATTAGAAGAGAATCATCCGGATGGCAATGCATGTGATCTCGAACAAGAGCAGATAAGTAAAGGACAGATTTATACAAATTACAAACAAGAATTGGATGTTGATGATTTTACTGATTTTTCTGGGGGTTATTCCTCTACCCAAGAGAATGATGATTTTATTGTGACATATTTCAATTCGAGTATTGCTGACTCTGAAGCCAGTGAGATCTGTAGTCATTGCATACGCTGTAATTGTGTCCTTGAGAGGGAGACTATCTATACAGAAAGGTAATTATCAATTCATAAGCAATTAAGTGAACTTGATGGGAAGAATCAAATGGATAATAATTTCATCTAATGCAGTTTTGGTTGCTTGGTATCTTTTGTTATGTCTGCAGTAATTTTTTCTTTTCAGGGCTACAAGTCAATTATTGTTCATATTTATTATTTTTATGTTTTAACTTTTTACTGTTCTTTTCTGATTCTCATGGTGTGCATCTCATCTGCAAATGAAATTAAGATATGCTCAGTTTGTTATTTCACTGAATTCTGTGAATATTTTGTTTCGAACTCACCAAATGTCTTACCTTGCATATAATCACATATATTGTTAATATTTTATACATGGTATCTATTTTTATCTTCTAATCCTTCTTAATCGACTAGTTTTTCTATGATACCAACTGTTGAAGGTACTTTCCTATAGTTTCCTGTTAATTACATTCAACAGTGTCTCCAAGGAGTTGCAAAAATATTTGTATTTGTCTAAATGGCCTTCCTTTCCTCAAGTGTTCAAGTAGAAACCTCCCTTCTTTTTTCTACCCGGACACTTAACTTGTGCAGAAGGTGGAAGATTTAAGACTAAAAGTATCAAAGAATTTATAATTTTTTCAAAAAGAAAATAGATAAGTCACCTAATTTTTATAGCAAGGGTAGTAAAATAGCATTGAACGTGACTTAAAAGTCATCCTTTAAAATTCTCAGTACTTAACCTTTTAGTGTACCAAAGATCCTATTTTGATTTGAAAGGAATGTAGTAATTATTGAAGATAAGTATCATTTTTTTAATCTTAATCATGTGAAACTAACTGTAATTTAAAATTGAATCAACGAGAAAACTTAATTCATTTTAATTTTATTTAAATCAAGAGTAAAACTAGTTCTAATTTTTGTCATTGATTATTGTCAAATATTTGCATTTGTTTAGTTAATGTAAATCAATAAACAGGATCATATAGATAAATTTTTATTGTGAAAATTCCTAAAACACATTTCATAATTGATGTATTTTATAATACAAAAGAGTGTCATGATAAAAAAGATATAATTAATTTCTGCATTACAGGATTCTGTACTTTCTTCTTTTTCTCTTCGTTTTTTTTTTGTTTCCTCTTCCACCCCAAAGTTCAGTTCTAGATCCATTGCTATTACCCTCCATATAGATTATATGATACTTTCTAAAAATAACACTTTTGAGAAATGATTATCACTGAAAGTATTCCTTCCCACATTGTTCTGCGCTGATTATAGTTTGTACTCTCAAATTTTTGCTCATCCCTGCTATGGCATATGTAATTTTGATTTTTCCCCATGTAGAGAAGTTGCAGTATTGCTGAGTAGCCATAAGAAGCTCTATGTGCTGCTAATCAGTGTTGCTTCTGATGGATCAGGTTAGGCTATACCCTTTCTTTTCTGTTGGCAAGCGTTACTTAATTGTTTCTTTCGTTTTAGTGCAATCTCTTTGCTCCTTTTGTCCATGCTTATCATATTAATTTCTGTAAATTATTAAACCTCCTTTTCTGCACTGGAGGTTAAATGATTTAGGAGGCTCGGACTGCCATTTGTGTTTTTTAAAATGAGGTTCCATAGCATTTATCGTGTTTGGCTACTGTATTGCTGAAAATAGGCGTGAGATTGCATTGTTCAAACGTCAAAATTAATTCAAGTGACAGCAACTCCAGGGAGCTTTTACTTTTGCACTGTTGAAATGTGCATTGATAATTTACCATCATACCCTCATTTCTCTCTTCATTTCTTTTAAGGTTACATTGCGTTCTTTTTGGTAATTTTACCCTAAATTTGACTTATAGAAACAAAAACAGTTTTTTAAACCCAACTTTTAAAATAGAGTAAATACTCTTTTTGATCCTCAGCAAATTTCACGATGCCCATTTTAGTCCCTAGCAAATAAAAAGGCCCATCGTGGTCCCTAAGAAATTCAAAATGGACTCATTTAGTTGAAATCGTGATCCTTCACAAATTCAAAAAAGACCCATATTAGTCCCTAAAAGGACTAAAATGGGTCCATTTTGAATTTCTTAGGGACCACGATGGGCCTTTTTATTTGCTAGGGACTAAAGCGGGCATTGTGAAATTTGCTGAGGACCGAAAAAGGTATTTATCTTTAAAATATCATTCTCAAACAAAAATCAATTCCTTTGAAATCAGTTCTACAAAATTTAAACCAAAGTGGCCCTTAAAAGGCCTAATTTTCACTTCCTTTGACTGCAAACAATGGCATTTCATACATACCAAGTCGCCAATATTTTATCCATGTTTTGCAGCTTAAAAAATAAACAATACATTTTAACCCTCCCTTATTAATTCAACAAATTACATCTTGAAATCTTTTTTCATTGATTGCTTCTTTTATAGCTATTAAAATCCCTCTTGAATATGCCATCCAGGAACACTTCTGAGCGTATTGAGTTGCCACAAGATTGAAGAAGTTAGTGAAGTGGTTGTTGGAATGGGACTTCAGGTGTTAAGGTTAGCGAACTTGTATACTTACATGAACTAAAGAAGTGGTAACTTTATAAATGTAATTCTTTGGCTCGTCAGGGTGAATTTCGAGAGTGGTGAAACATACCTTTTTGTAACAAGAAGTATTGAGAAATCAAGAGAGTTATTATGTACCATACACGATTCATGTGGAGGGAACAGTAGATGCTTAATAACAAGGTGATTTACCTTATGCCTTACACTTTAAATTATTAATTTGGGTGTCAATGTATGCCTATATTTGTATTTTTTTTAAAAAAGTTTGTCTTTATGAAAGTATGTAATGAATATTTCACTTTGATATTATTAATTGCTTTATAGTTATGAATATATTTCATTTCTTTTTTATTTTCAATTCTTCCTGCTATAATAGACTGGGGTTTTGGAAATTTAAATGGCAGTTTGGAGCAGGTCCAGGTTGAGTTGTTTGACAACCAAATATGTGGTGGTTCAAACGGTAGCATATATCAGTATGCAATGGTGCTCGTCTGTTGTAACAATGACAGTGGTATGCTTCTCTCTAGTCATTTTATGTTGTACACTTTTCCTTTATATTCTATTCATAATGAGAACAACAGCGGTCAGTTCTTGTTTATTTTAGTAAGACTTCTTTGAGATTAATTTGCAGCTCTGAATTCTGAAAGATGATATTTTATAACAAAATCTCTTAAAAGTAGGTATGAAATGCTATTGTTGGAAAAAATTGTTTTATTAGTTGGTAGGAACAATGAATGCATAACTCATTTAGATGGTTGATTATGTGAATCCACTAATTCGCTAGAGTTTTTGTTCAAGTTTACCTTCACCATTATTACCTCTTGAAGGTTTCAGAGACTATGTTGTATTTTTAACTGTACTGGTATTGATAATCTTTAAAATATGTCTTGTATTAAAAATTGCTAGGACTTTTATATTCTTTTTGGAGGGAGGTTATATTTACAAACTCATATATTGCACTTTGTACTCCCCGGAGTATATAGGCAAACTATGGCCACTACCCATACAATAGCAGTTCACATAGACCAATCAAGCCATAATCTAACATTTAAAATAATTCCCAATGTGAATGACTATTGTATGGGTACTAGCCATAGTTTGCCTATGTATTCCGGGGAGTACAAAGTGCAATATATGAATTTGTAAGCGAAAAAGTTTGTAAATATAATCTTCCTCTTTATTTATTAATTAATAGTTTACAGACATAAACTTGTCCTTAGTTTTATACCTACAGAGGAAGCATGGCTTTCGAGATCGCTGTTTGTGATTGGAGGAGGGTATATGCTTTTATGCGTTGAAGATGTTAAGCAGCTGTACTCATTTTCATCCGATGCGTCGGTGTCTCCATATTTCAGAATTGATTCATATTGCTCCATTACCGACCTAACTGAGATGGTAAGTACCTTTTTGGGGCGTTATAAAGTGATGCAGAAAATACCGGACGTTAGAAACAAACAAAGCCAGTGGGTTTTGAATTATCATCCCAATCATCCTCATAAACAATACATAACTTGGGCCATCTTCTTTGAAGAGCAAAACTAGCATGAAGACGTGAAAAACACCCTTTTTTTCCTGTTGAGATATATAAAACCATTAATGTACCCTCATCTTACAGCTTAAGCTTTTGGGTTGAATTGGTTCTTTACATGGTATCAGAGCCTCGTGTCCCGGGTTCGATCCTCGCCGCCCCCCACTTTCTTTCAAGTGGAATTTCTTTGTTCGCACAGGTAGGTGGGCCTGTGCATTGTCCACCCTTCAAGCCCAGTGGGCTCTCGTGTGAGGGGGCGTGTTGAGATATATAAAACCATTAATGTACCCTCACCCAACAGCTTAAGCTTTTGGGTTGAATTGGTTCTTTACATTTCCTAATTAAATAACTTCTCTAAAACTCCCCCGGGCACCCCGGAACATTGACTGTTCTTTACCCTCCCTTTTGATTAAACATTCGTTAATTGGCTTATTGTTTAATGTTACTCTTTCCAGGTCATTGAGGTTGGTGAAAGCTGCTGTGTGACTTTAGTTCTGACATGTCCAATGGCAAAATTTCATCCCTCTACCAGAATGAACCTTGAAGCTACCGGTCATGGAAACACAGCTCCAGGCTCTCTTAAATTGAAGCTTCAGTGGTTCTCCAAAGATAACCTTTTGAAGTTCGGGTCATTGTTGAAGGCAATCCATGCAGAAAAAGGGGTATCTCCTTTGGTAGTAAGATGTATATCGTAAATCTTTTTTGCTCTCTATTCATATTCATTTCATTCATTTGTTTTTGGTTTTCATTTTTTTTTTTTTTTAAATTAGTTTGCTTGCTTAGCGTGTTGGGTTTATGATAGCTTCCTTCCCTTTTAATTCTTTGATTTATATCCACGCAGTGGTTGTTCATTTTCAATGTATAGAATTGTACAGTTTCACTGCACATTGTTAACCTACTTGTGTTGCTCCTTCCTCCCCTGCTTTCCCCTCTACCTTGATGGAAAAATATGTGATGAGAAAGATCTTCATGGAAATGTTGCAGCAGTTGTTTCTTTATTCAAGATGCCTACGCATGAAGCTTATATGTTGTATAAAAGGATGAATTTTGTAGAAAATTTATTAGAGTATCACTAAAACCATTCCCCATGAAATCCCAACTTACAAGGTTAAGTGTAAAGAAGATATTTATATGCAGCCATACTCTTGTCTATTTGCGGCCTTATCAGTGCTCCTCGCTCACCTAAAAAGAGTTTGACTAGTAAATGTAATCTCTTGCCATTTTCTAATTTGTGAAGACTATGCATCTTGGAATCTTGTGTGCAACTTTCGTTATGTTTACCAATTGAAAAGTATTGTCAAAATCTCATTTTCTGTTTGTAAGTTACATATCTTTTCTGCTCTTGAGCCAGAGATATTGAGAGGAAATGGTCATTGCGTATTATGGAATGCTACTTGTTAGTGGGAATAAAATACATAAATCAAGCTGAATCAAAAAGTAGATTGCCTCTGCTTATCTGGTTTTTTGCCAGGGCCAGTTGGAAACTTTTTGAATATGCAACCAAATCTGTAATTGTTAGTAGTCAACTTCAAGAACCATTAAGAATTAGTGCAGCAATTACCCTATTAAACTGCTCAGTGGACAGCATGACTTTGAAATATTACTTCGGAACGTAAGTAGGCAATGTCCCCTGATATCGTAATTTGAGGGATGACGCAATTTTAAATGATGATATATAAATCAGTTATTCTGGTTCAATTTAAAACCAATTGAAAAGTTTGCAACAACAACCAAGCCTTGAATGGAATATACTCACTGTCCACGTTGGGACTAAATCTTATTTTCATCTTTTAAATCTTGCCAAGAATATTATTGGGAGTAATAAAGGAAAAAGCTGCTGTCTCTCGTTGACTAAAATAAACTAAAGTATAAATCATCAAATAAAAGTGTGTAGGCTCATTTGAAGAGGAGAGAGGAAAAAAGAAATGAGCCCGACACATTTTTATGTCAGTGTAAAAAATAAAATTATCTCTTATATATATATATATATATATATATATATATATATATATATATATATATATATAGTCCGCTTTTTTACAGTTAAAGATAACTTATCTATATTAAGCCCAAAACATGACGATTGACGTCGTTTTAATGCGAAAATCAAGATATTTTCGTAATTATAATTTATTTCATGGTTATAATAGTCTTTTTCATTATAATTTTTTTTTTCAATTCAAAACGACGTCGTTTCGGAATAAATATAAATAACTTATCTACATTAGAAATATTAAAGCCATATATATAATTCACCCAAATTTAAAATAGTAGTACTACGTTTTTACCCAAAAAATAAATAGTAGTACACTACGTACCCGAACATACGACTTCACATCACTACTTGACCGTCCCACATCGCGATCTGCATCCGGTGATTCAAAACTGTTTTCAAATTGGGTCATCCAGTCCTTAACCGTACTTTCTAATAGGCCCAAGGACGGCCCAAATTAAATCTAGCTAGGGTTTCCTATCCTCCCAATTTATGTAGTATATATATGTATGTGTAGGTGTATGTGTTGGTGCAGCACGATCAGATATCAGAGTGGGACGTAGTTGGTTGCTACGGTGCCAATGTTTTCTGGGTTATTTGTTGTGCTGATATATAATTAATCTCAAAATGAATTTTTGTTCGTTTTTCTTAATTGCTTCAAGTTTGTTATTTAGTTTCAATTTAGCGTTTTGTTATTTCTGAGATGAAAATGGAAGGAAAGGCAATTAGATAGCGTCACTGATGCGCTTTGTTTGATGAATAGCGTATTCAGCCCTTTTCGTTGCCGAAAGTGATGATTGAGCAGATATGCTTGCGATCGCCGTTCTTCTTTCAATACGGTTCTTGCATTCAGATGCTCAAACATTTATTTGTTTTTCTTTTCTTTTTTTAATATCTTTTTTATTTTTCACCATTTCAATAAGAAAAACCATATCTTTCAAATCAACAACAATAGAAAGACATGCTCTGTAATCAATCACCATCATAAAATGTTTTGTTTTGTGCTGGGTTATCTTTGAGCATGCTCAAGAATGCATAAACTACTCATAAACCGTAATTCTTGAAAGATTATCTTAGTTAGGTGTTAATTTTAAGGGAGGATACTAACACGCTCGAACTTTACGTCATACAAGCTCATAATTAATTCATGCTCGCGTATGTGCAAGCCTGTAAATTTGTACCTTTTATCTGGCATTCGAATCGAATATACTGTGTAGGCCTGATTGATTGTATTTTTTGGTTTATTTCTAGAGAGTATTTTATAAATTATTTTTTCAAAATAAAAATATCAATAGTGTGTTTAGTAAAACCATTATTGTAAACAATTCAAACCTTAAAAAAGAGTCAAAATCACGCTTGTTAAATTGTTTAGATATTAAGATTTGAAAAAGAAGAAAATGTTATATTAATTTTTTTAATTTGAAAGTTTCTGGTTTTGGAATATCATATCTTTCTGTCTTTTGTTTGGCACGGCCCGTGGTGTTCTCTCTACCTTTCCCTTTTTGGGAGAAATATTCAAAGATACAAAGTTTTGGCAGCGTATGTTGGATATAATCATGCTACATCTGCCGTTTGCCATGGATGAAACAACTATGGAGGTTGGAAACTGTAGCCAACAGGGTGGGGTTCATGATATCGTGAAAAAAAAAATATTGTAATTTTCCTTAAATTGATAACAAAATGGAAGCATAAATAAGGAATTATTAAGGTAGAGGCTATAAAGGTTAGTAACACATACATGATACACCTAACATTTTCTAGAAAATATTAAGGTAGAGGCTACAGACTTAAGAAGATTATGTCCGTTAAAGAAAATCAACCTTAAAATCATGAACCTGTTTGTTCCTAAAATCAGGTTGTCTTTTCCTCAAGTAGCACACGGAAAATATTTTCTAGACATTATAAACCTGTAATTCTACCTTATTGCTAAATCATATTCATATCATCTCATAAGCAGGTCTCTACGTCCAAATCATTTGATTGTAATAATAATCCTTTTATCTTATTAAAATGACTCAAAACATTAATTTGAAATTTTTTAGTAACCACAAATAGTTGAAGAAGAAGTAATTTGCAGAAGTTTCCATAATCCAGATATTATTGGTCTGTCACTGAAATAATGATCAAGTTTAAAGTAATGCTAACCTGGTCTTCCTTCGTTGAAATCAAAACTTTCACCAATGCAGTTAGAGAGATATAATAATCCGGTCATTTTTAAGGAGCCTGTCATAAGAAAAACTTGGATCATATCAATCAAACATAATGATCAAGTTTAACTTAACTGAAAATAACTAGAAAGGAAAAATTAAACAAAAGGCACGCGATATTGGCGCGGCTCAATCAGATCACAGGGTCAAGCCATATTGATTGAAGCTATGATCAGTTTGAACCGTTCCAACACCTCGGGTTGGTGCCTAATTTCGATTTTTTCCACCCCCACATTTGTACCCAATTATAGTTGCTGCTGCTGAGAGATTGAATTGAAGAACAACACTATGATGCTTCACAATTTGTGCAGTGCATTGAACCCTGTTATAAAGTAATTATAGCCAACAATTTTCTTGTTTCTTTATTAATTAATGTACACATTTGGCCATTGATTTGGTGGATTGTCAAAACAAAGAGAATCCTCTAAAAAGAAAGTGTGTGAACTGATCTCTCTATGATTGCCGGCCAGCTTCTGCATAACTGCACATATAGCCGGCCTTTTAATTCTCTAAATATTCTCACCTTTCATCATTGATATTCTCTTTGTTTATATTTATAAATATTAAATTTAAGCCCGACAAAAAGAATTCACATTATATATCAATAATCTCAATAAACACTAGGGAATAGTTAAGTGATGAACTGGGGAGGAATGAGAATGGTAAATTGGGAACTCATTTTCCATACAATAGGAGTATGTATGTACTCCTTTTTCCTTTAACCAAAAAAGAAAAAACATGGGATATGAATGAAAATAACTATAAAGATACAGATAATGTAAAAGTATTACTTTTACTTGATATAACATAAATTGAAAATATTTTCATAAATTGGATAGATTACTTGTACGAGTTCTGTTGTATCAATTTAATTTGTGTTTGCTCACCTAAAGGAATAATTAGGGTGATGGAATCCAATTTTTACATATGTATTAAAGAAAACACCATTAATCGTTATTGGCGTTTCTTTAAGAAGTAAGAAATGAAGTTACTGGATTCTTCTGAATTAAATTTTGAGCCAACCTAAAAATTCCATGCAACAAATGAAATGAGTTTCTTATGAAAAACACATGCTTGATCTTCCTAGCTGACACAAATGCCAGCTTCCTTGCCAGCCCTAAATGTTGAAGTCTTAGAGAAGCAACACAATCAATGGAAGTTAAAGTTGTCTTGTCTCTATCGCTGAATGAAACAAAACTATGTCATTCTTCGACACAACCCAAGCAAATTTTAACGACAAACCCAAAGGGAAACAGAAGTGGGACTTGTACAAGGTTTGCCGTCTGATGCTTTGTTCTGTTTATATTGTCTTCCCCATTATTCACAAACTTCCATGTCATTGAAATGCTTTCATTTTAACCGTCACCTTTTGTCCACAGCTCAACTTTAGTGCTTTAAAGACCCATAAACACCAGCAGCAATCAAGGAGAACCAAAAGTGGTTGCTGAAGTTCACCGCAATGGCGAGGCTTGACAGGATGGGCAGAAATAAAAGCCTAGAGAGTCTAATGGATTCAGAAAAACCAGGAAACGCAAGAAATGTGAAGCAACTGAGGCCCCAGAAGTCCATTCCTGGCCATGGCCTTGAATTCAGTAACCTCTCGTATAGTATCATAAAGAAGCAGAAAAAGGATGGAGTTTGGACCAAGAAAGAAGCATATCTTCTTCATGATCTCTCTGGTCAGGCAGTAAAAGGTGAAATTATGGCAATCATGGGGCCTAGTGGTGCTGGCAAATCCACCTTCCTTGATGCCTTGGCCGGGCGAATTGCGAAAGGGAGTCTAGAAGGATCAGTTAGAATTGATGGAAAACCAGTAAAAATGAACTCCAACTATTTCATGTTTTTGCTTTAATGAAATCACCAAAAAGCAAAAAAAAAAGAAAAAAGAGAGGAGATATTTCACTCTTCTTTTCTTTCTTTAATTTAGGAGTGCTCATGTGCGCATGCTCTAATTATGCAGGTATCTACAAGCTACATGAAGATGGTATCATCATACGTGATGCAAGATGACCAGCTCTTCCCTATGTTGACAGTTTTTGAAACATTTATGTTTGCAGCTGAAGTTAGGCTTCCGCCTTCCATTTCTGGGGAGGAAAAGAAGAAGAGGGTTTATGAACTCCTTGATAAACTGGGCTTACAGGTATAAACCTTTTGTTTCTCTCACTCACATCACATGCACACATACAATGGCAGATTAATGACTTCATGACTGTTCAGAGTACTACGCATACCTATATTGGTGATGAGGGAACGAGAGGAGTTTCAGGAGGGGAACGACGAAGGGTATCTATTGGCATAGACATCATTCATAAGCCTTCACTTCTGTTTCTTGATGAACCTACCTCAGGCCTTGATTCTACAAGTGCTCTTAGTGTAGTGGAAAAGGTTAAAGACATAGCTCAAGGTGGTAGCATTGTCCTTATGACCATACATCAGCCTTCATATAGAATTCAAATGCTCCTGGACAAGATCACCATCCTTGCAAGGTGAAAATTTCAGAGCCTATATTTTTATAGCTGATAAGCCTGGTATAATGTTCATTTGACTTTCTGAAGTGCCTAAAATGAGGAGATACATATAAGGCTTCATCATATAGACCATTGAAACTGATAGGGAGTTCAACAAATATATTGAACACATTTATGAGATGATAAGAAGGTAAAACCATATGACAGACACATATAAGGACTTTTGGCTTAATCCTAAGATTGTAAGTCGAATGGATCTCAGTTGGATACCAAAAAGTCTCTACAGTATGCCTATGCATAGAGCACAATATGAGTCCAAAGCTTTTGCTCGAAGTTGTGTGATTAAAAAACACAAACAAACAAACAAACAAAGAGGAACTCCTTATCTATTACCTTACATCTATGAACTTGAATAACATATTTATGACATGTACTTGGGTTTAACTCAAGGGGAGTGTGGATGAGATTTGGGTAGATATTGTAGGCTCAATTTACTTGTAAACAAAAAATATATCCATGTCATGACCAGATTTGCTACTGTATTGACTTGGTGTTATAGGGGAAGACTGATATACATGGGAAAGCCAGATGCACTTCAGGCTCACCTTTCTGGATTTGGAAGGCCAGTACCTGAAGGAGAAAACAGTATTGAGTATCTCCTGGATGTGATAAATGAATATGATCAAGCAACGGTTGGGCTTGACCCCCTTGTCCAATACCAACATGATGGCCTCAAACCTGACCCAGCAGCCATGACACCTGTTCCAAAAGCTCAAACACCTTACAGAAGGAACAGCCCTGCATCCAAACACATGATTAGCCTACGCAGCCAAGGATTTACTGCTGGAACCCCACAGCCAGATTCTGCACAATTTGGTTATCAAGATGAGGAAGATGATGATGATGCTGAGAATTTTGATAGCTCCATTGGAAGGAGAAGTGTTCATACACCAAGGAATAATATGACTACTGGTGTTTACCCACGTTTGGCTTCTCAGTTCTACCAAGATTTCTCAGCCAAAGATTTCTCTGTGTGGCTTTATCATGGTGTTGTAGGAACCCCCCGTCGCCAACCATCATGGACTCCAGCAAGAACTCCAGGATTGACACCTGGAAAAACACCCATCATGTCAGGACCAAGAAGTGCTGTTTCCAACCAATATTCTGCAGCTTATCAGGAACCTTATCGCCCCAAAACGCCTGCAGTGGGTAGCCAGTCTCTGGACTATTCTGCAACTTCATATGCAACTTCATATGAAGAGTTTCAGATTGAGGAAGTGCTTGATGAGCCAAACCATGGATCCAAGTATGCAAATCCATGGTTGCGTGAGGTTGCGGTGCTATCGTGGCGAACAGCACTCAATGTAATTCGCACCCCAGAACTCTTCCTCTCCCGTCAGATTGTGTTAACTGTTATGGCAATTGTCCTGTCCTCCATTTTCAAAAATCTAAGTCAAACTTCTTTCCAAGACATCAATAGGCTCCTCAATTTCTACATCTTTGCAGTGTGCCTTGTTTTCTTTTCTTCCAATGATGCAGTCCCATCTTTTATAATGGAGAGGTTCATCTTCATCAGGGAGACTTCCCACAATGCTTACCGTGCTTCTTCATATGTCATCTCTTCCCTCATTGTTTACCTCCCATTTTTTGCAGTTCAAGGCCTCACATTTGCTGTCATAACCAAATTATGGCTCCACTTGAAAAGCAGTCTCTTTAATTTCTGGCTAATACTTTATGCCTCGCTTATAACTACCAATGCATATGTAATGCTTGTTAGTGCTCTTGTGCCTAGTAACATTACAGGCTATGCAGTAGTCATAGCCACAACAGCACTCTTCTTTTTGACCTGTGGTTTCTTCCTCAAAAGAACTCAGATACCCATTTACTGGAGGTGGCTCCACTATATTTCTGCAATCAAATACCCATTTGAGGCATTGCTCACAAATGAATTCAAGAACCACCGTGGCTGCTACACAGGAAACAAAGCAGATTTATCCCCCGGACCATTAGGAACCGTGAAGCCCAGCAAACAACATAGTCCCAATCTGCCTCCTGACTGCTTATTAGGAGCAGATGTCTTGTCCACAATGGATATTACAATGGAAAACATATGGTATGACATCATAATACTGCTAGCTTGGGGTGTTCTTTACAGGTTCTTCTTCTATTTGGTTTTGAGATTTTACTCCAAGAATGAGAGAAAGTGAAACATTACCACCCCTTTTTCTCAGGATTGCCTTTAGATTATATGTCATGCCCTGTTAAAAAAACTGAAGGTCATAACAATCACGTTATTTCTTGTGTTTTTGCTATCATATTCATAAGATATCATAGTTTTGTTAAAGCAGCTTACGAGTTTTTGGCTTTTCTGTCCCGAAAGAGCGAATGACAATGCTTACGCTAAATTATCAGTTAATTGCTCTTGGAAAAACGAAAAAAACATTATTAGTTGAACCCCAGCACTTATTTAGCAGATGAAGTGTGTTGTTAAAATACACTGCTCTTTTTTTTTTTTTTTGATAACAAAATACACTGCTCTTTAATTACAACATGTTGCATCCTCAAAAAATATGGCCCGACTTCAAAATGAGAAAAGATTAAAAAAAAAAAATTCAAGTGAAATTAGCCCAGCCACAACTTTCCAAATAAGTAACCGTCCCCTAGGTTATACATTCTTGTTTCCCCATTACAGTCATCATAAACCTAAAATCAGCTTGTAAAATCAACTTATTCAAAATCAACTTAATCGAAATCAACATTAACATTTTCTACACGCAAGCGGACAGAGAAACATCAAGCCATAACACATAGAAACTGTCGATTAATATTTGTCTTTATATAACAGAAGAAACAGCAAGGAAATACTATAGTATCAGGGTTCTTATTAGGTATTCACTTAAAGAGAGCCGGCATGTTGCGCAATCTTCCTTTCAAGTGCACTTTTGTCTGCCCCAACCACACTGTCAACCTCTTTGCCATTTTTAACAAAGAAAAACGTAGGAACACTGCTAATATTCCAACGTGCAGCAACATCCCTTGCTTCATCTATGTCAACTTTCAAAAAAACCACTTTTGGGTACTTCTCAGCCAAGCTTGTATAGAGAGGCGAAATGAAGCGACAAGGACCACACCATGTTGCAGTAAAATACAGGATGGTGAGGCGAGATGTCTTTGATGCAGCACTCAACTTTGTTTCCAATTCACCAGCAGAGTGAATACCAATGACTTGCCCTTTTGAATGCCACAAACATAATAGGACATTAAATTAATATAAATCATCGATTTGTTACTTTAAATTCCAAGGAATGGGAGATATGCCTCAAAAATACCCTTTTAACTTAACAGGTCAAAGAGAGAAAAGAGGGGGACAAATTGAAAATAAAGACAATTGTAGTTTTTCTCACAATCAACATGATGAGAAATGACCCTCAAAAGTATAGTTTTTTCATGTCTTGTTAAGATCATTTGTAGCTAATTTGGCAATATAAGGTGTGCATCACAACCATTCTGTTTTTTAGTCCTGTTTTTGAATAGAAAGAGTTCCTAGACAAAATAGTTTTTGATAACACAATTTATTTCTCCTCCAATGGAGAGAGACTATGTATTGTATTTAATAAATAATGTGTATTTAATCCTGCAACACATTCTACAATGTATGCATTTAACAAAAGTGTGTCAGTGAACAAAAAAGCGACAAAAAAAAAATTAAAAAGTTGTTTCTTATTTCCATCAATTGGTGTTCCTAAGCTAACGGTTTATTGACTAGAACTGAAAAATAAATTGGTTTCATCAAACATTATTTCTAACCATTTCAACTCCCTAGATTAAAAAAAAAATTAGTGAAAATGTTGTCATGCACACCCATAATGCCCAATTTGCCAATTAGTCTTCAAATCACACACCGTAGCATGGTCTGTACTATATCAAAATCCAAGCCAATATATGTGTATTACATAACACAGAAAACAAAGGAAAACAAGCCAAAATGCATAAATTTTCCCAGTGCTTTCATCTTTTATCCTAGACAGTATATAGCCAATAAATCATGAATCAAATGCTTGGACAAAGGCTCAGTGTTATTTTTCTTGAGAAACAACATAAAAACATTTGCTGATCACTATGTTAATATATTTATTGGAATATCCAAACCAGAAGATCTAACACTAGTTATTATCTTGAAAAAGTTCTAAGGAGCAAGCCTACAACCTACGTTATTAATAGTGGTGCTATCACATGCTATACCGCTACATATGCGATTAGTGGCACCCAGCCGCTATTTCTGCCATGCAACATGATGGTTTGCACTAGTGGCCGCAATCGCAGCCATAGCAAAACAATCACAGTGCTACGGTGTAGGAAGGGCCAAAAAAGGTACTTTTAAGGGGTTATAATTGACTTTTACCCCCTTTTTATGTTGCATACCCAATTTGGTATGCCTCTTTCTCAATATCAACTCTCCTGCCTTTCTCACTTTTGCTACTCATTTCAGGTGGTTTACCAGCAAGCCCACTCACTCCTCTCTTCGACTCTGTTCGGGCGACCTACCAACATTGCTAAATTATCTCCTCTGTTTTCGAGCGACCCACTCATCAATGTTGGTAATGACACACAACTAGCCTGTAAGGTGAGTTCCTCTCTTTTGACTTAGACCCATACCTGATGTGAAGATAATGCTGGACTTATCTTCCGCCTGTAATTAATCACGAGCTGTAAAAAAACATATTTTTCATATTTCCAGCAAGTATCTTCCCAGACTGCTCAGCTCTAGTATTTCCAAATACAGCTATTTGAAATGAAAGTGACAGTAGAATTAATTACGAATGAGTGTTTTTAATTTTGGGTATTCTTATTTTTGAGCATTTAAATATGTCATATGTGTAGTATAATTTATTATAGCATTTGTGTGGACTTCTTGTAACAGCTATACCACTACGGCACTACCTGCTATACCGCTATAGCTATAGGGGTCAGCCCCTACCCACGATTGATAACTATGCCTACAAATACAATCAATGTATGATAGTAAACGCTGTCCAAGAAAAAAATTTCAAGTAGGTCAATATACTTCATATGAATTTTTAAGGCTGTAATGCAGGTGAGGAATTATGAGAAAATATGTGTACTATCACAGGCTCAGGAACAGTATGATGCAAGAAAAGTACCAGACAAAGAGGTATGGAGCACTGGTTTTTATTAACCAAAAGATAAGCAAGTCAACAAAAAGATTTAGAGAAGTTTAATACCATGAGGCAGATGGAAAGACAAAGACTTACCATCTTTTAAAGCAGACAATGCATCTTGATCCTGCAGAAAGATCAAAAGAATTTTCAGCTATAACTAGATCATCTCATAGCATTGTTCTTGAAGTGTATACAGAGGGAGCCAACTTCCCATCACTACATATTGCACGTCAGCTGTAACCCACCCAACCCTTATCCCACTCTCTCATATTGACAGGAGAAGAAGAAAGAAACAGCCCTAACTAACATAATTGGACAACTACAATAAAAGTATGGATTCATTGGAAATTAAGAATTGATTGAATTTGAATATATGTGATATCTCAACATTAGCATGAACAGTAGCCTAGAGAAAGAATATCCGCTTTAACCTTGAATGATAATGGTACATGGTAAAATTGAACTATCAGACGACTAGAGCATGGCAAGACTACCCAACTAAAATGAAATTATCTGCTTCAGCAGAAATTTTATTTCATAAAAGCAAAACTCCAACTAAGACCCAAGCGAGAAAAGCCGATGACAGCATCCAGATTGCTACCGAAGTTTGTTGTTGCAAAAAAGATGCTAAATTATTGATCCCTAATATGTTACCGAGCAAAGCCTATGCTGCCTGTGAAAAAGATTGTTCAATGATGGAAACTAAACACTATACTTACTTGGGCTTCAGCTTTTACTTGCTTCTTGAGTTGAGCTCTTTGTTGCTCCTTTTGCTTTCGTAATCGTTCATATTTTCTCCTATGCTCCTCAATTTTGCGGGCATTAGGTTCAACCTGTCAAGTCAAAAAAATATTAAAAAAAGGTTCCTTTTGCAGGCTCCACCCATAGAAAGCAGGCAAAATACCTTTTTAAGTGCCATAACAATCTCTTCATCATAATCTAACTTTGAAGCCTCATGAAGATCACTTGCTGCTTGTTCCCAGTGTCCCAACATAGCCCTCGACATTCCTCTTATTTTGTATCCTTTAGCCGAGTCTGGATTAATCTGGGACAAATAATATATCTTTGAGTACACACGTGCATGTTGTGCAGAAATTTCTTTTATGCTATGTATTTTATGCATCAATTCAAGAATAAATCAACCTTCAGGGCAGTGTCAGCATCACGGATAGCAGCATTTGGTTTCTTCAATTTCATAAAGACACTAGCTGAAAACAAGAAATTGAGATTTCCAAGGAACGAGGCAGAAGGTCAAACAAACAATAAAGCAGGTAAAAAAAAACATACACTGAAATATATATATATATATATATATATATATATATATATATAAGAGAGAGAGAGAGAGAGAGAGAGAGAGAGAGAGAGAGAGAGAGAGAACCTCTAGTAGCATAAAGTATGGCTGAAAGCGGATTCAACAAGATGGCTTCGGTCAGTTGGTCCAGTGCTTGATCCAACTTACCTGGTTTAAAAATTAAAAAAACCCTCAATTAACAGACTAAAAGAATGTCGAAGAAACACAAATTGAGAGATTGTGAAAGAAAAGAAGACAAATAAGTAATGACGATTGAAAGGCATGCCTTGTGATATAGCATCGACTGCTGCTGATTTTGCTAGTTGTGAAGCATCCCTCTGGTCTTCAGTTACTTGAGCAGAAGGATTTCCCATCTGCCATTAAATTCAGATTATAGATTTCTATAGACGCGGACGGCATGACAATTACATCCTTCAACTTCAAGATACGTAACATACCTTTTGAGGAGGGTCATTATCAGGTTCAACAACATCACTATTATCCAACTCTATATCAGATTCCATAATGTCATCTTCATCTTGTGCAGGATCTGACACGTAATTATCAAAATCAACAGGTTCCTGCATAATCATATGCATGCAGAAGCTTTGGTTTTACTGTGAGGGATAACTGAAAATGCCTAAATTACTTTATTTCAAAATTAAGAAGACATAAATTGAAGGATGCTTACCGTTTTGGGTTGGGAAGGGATGCGAGCACCTAGGCTGCAAAAGCACAAGTGTTTGAGAGAAGAGAAAGAAATAAACAAAACAAAAAAATTGAGAGTGAAGATTTTACTACTGTTACCTGAGAAGATAAGACTTGAAGAAGGAAAGAGATGGGTTATGGAGAAGGGAAGGATCGGACTTGCATTTCTCTATAAATTGCTTTAGCTCTGCTACTTTGCCCGCATCCATTGTGAGGAGAACTGAGAAGAAAACAGTACTTCTACAACTACTATTTAGGGTTCGATCTCTGTTAACAAATCCACCTTTTCAAACCCAACTCTATTTATAACGTATGGTTTGACTCTTATTACAACGCTCCCACACTTCAAAACATAACCTGTGAGTGACTTTGGCCCACTTTATCTTTGTTTCCAAGAAAAAATTAGTCATAATAATGTGTTCGAATTTTGAAAGACTGTGGAAAATATAATTTAGGTTTTTTTAACAAACACGATAGATTCAATATTATTAATAATTTTCTCAAGTTTACCTTGTAATATTTTTATGTTGTGATTTGATAATACTATTGTAGAAGTAGAATACATCAATATACTCTCACTAATATCAAATAATATTATTTACATATATTTATAAATAAGTATTTACTCAAAAAAACGAAAGTTGACCTTGATAAAATATTTTAATGTATTCACCAAAGACTCTTTTTTAGAATTGTTATGGTATTCATGGAGAGTATTTTCAGTGAATTCAGATTAGTACTCACTCGGTAGTACAGGCCAATCAAAAATGAATATTTTCTGTGATATGTGTACGGAGGAGAGAGAAAAATAAAGTTTTAATTCACGTGTCACATTTTCGGTGAATCGTCCGGATTATCACTCGCTCGATGGTCCAGGTCAATCAAAAATGAGTGTTTTCTGTAACATGTGTACAGAGAAGAGAGAAAAACAAAATTTTAATTCACGTGTCACATTTTAGATGAAAAGCCTACATGATCCGAATTCAGTGAAAATATTTTCGTATCCATGACTCATTTTGATATAGAATTGCATCATATAAATGTCAGAACAACTTTTTAAAATGGCGATTTGAACGAGGGTAATGTACCTGCAACAACCGGAAGGGTTGACCGCAAGTGCTAATGAACACTTAGTTTGTGAATTGAAAAAGTCTGTTAATAGTTTGAATTAGGCTTCTAGACAATGGTAACTAAAATTTGATGAGATGGTAACTCCTCCCATAAAGACTTCAGCTTGGTGAAATGCACATTAATAGAGGTCTCGTCTTGGCTTAAATTGACAAGTCCCTTCCCAATTGAAACTTGAAAGATGCGAATTTCATTGCTTCGTTCAAACCAATCTTAATAATATTGCTATATCTCGAAGGCAGACTCCGAATAGACGATACTAACAGAAATGTATCTGAGAAATAAAATTCAAGATCTAAGAAGTATTAGTATTATTGTTCTAAAACGGAGAATGAAAAAGACTAGGGTCCATACCATCATGTGGAACACAAATCCAAAAACTAAAAGCTAAAGAAATAAAGAAAAAGTTATATATTATTTTCTTATAATAAAAAGCGATATATTAGAATAAATAAAAAATGAGCTACGTCAAGTAAACACAAATATAAAAATCTCAACAACCACAAGTGATCCTGGCTCACGACGGGCGTTCCACTAAAAGAGTGACACTTAGAGATTTTTTCTCTTTTCTTTCTCCTCTCTCCTCACTCTCTTTCTCTCTCTCCTCCGGCCCACTAAATATGCACGGGAAGCACAAATTTAAAGGCTCGCATCAAACTAATATTTGCTCATAATCATAAGTGTATCTTAGGAATCTCCCATAATTAAATAATTTTACATGACTTTTAATATGTAGAATTTGAATAGACCTCATATACTATGAGGTACTGCAAAATAAAATCATTTGTATAGATGATCTCTGCAAACCTTCTTCATATACTTTTTTCTATGGGATAGGATATTGTGCCTACTCCCATCTTGCCTACCTTTACCTACTTCTCTCAACATCGTTGGATTACAATCTCATCTAACGGTTCAGATTCAAAAAATAAATAAAACCCTTTTACTCTTTTTCTCTCTCTCTCTAACTCTTCTCTTTCTCTCTCTCTAACTCCACCCTTTCTCTCTCCTCGCTTGTGTGCGATGAAGAAGACGCCCAAGTCTACATTTTACGATTAGGAAAATATTCTTCATCCTTTGTCCATGCACTTGTATTCTGAGAAGGGTTGAATTGGAAAAGAACAAGTTAATTGGAGTATATAAATTAAAGTGATAGAATTTGCCAGAGCATGTTAGGGTTCCGTCTCAGAATGAAATTGATAACTTTGTCTTTTTCCCATCTTAGGGTGGTTTCTGTATATTTGGATTTTTGATTTTGTTGCCTTTTTACGGCGGTGTTGCTTGTCGACGACTGATGATTGATCCCATCTTTGTGCAGAATCTGGGCCTCGCTGAAACCTAAACCAACAGAGATGGGAAAGGGCTTTTTGTTTCCATTAAATAGACTCTCCCTCTCTCATTCCAAATGTGATCTAACAAACGTAGTGTTAAACGATTCGATATGGTTTTATTTACCTTTGTTTCAACCCAAACAACCCTAATTATTCAACGTCCTAAATTATGGCTTATTTTCTTCTAAGGGTAACAAAGCAGAGTACTGTAGAAATTTGTATTTTCTTCTTCTTTTCTTCCAGGATGATAATATTGGATACTCAATTTTGAGTTTATGCACAAATACTTTGGTGTTTGCAGCTTTCGAATCTTTAATAATATTTGTCATTCCTGTTTTTTTAACAAAGAAAAAGATGATGTCGTATTATTTGTTCTTCCTTGCATCGTAGTTCTTTTTAATATTTTGGTTTTTTTTTTTTTAATCTGTGGATGTTAAGGCATGAATTCTACCATCGATTTTGTTTCTTAGCAACGTATCTGGTTTTCAATGGGAGAGATATTTGCAAGTACGTCTTCTTTATCGCAAGCAAGGGAGGAGAGAATAAGGGTGGAGTCAGAGAGATAGGGGGGAAGAAGAGTGGAGTTAGAGAGAGAGAAAAAAAGAGTAAAAGGGTTTTATTTAACTTTTGAATCTGAACCGTTAGATGAGATTGTAATCCAACGATGTTGAGAGGGGTAGGTAAAAGTAGACAAAATGGGAGTAGGCACAATAACCTATCCCTTTTTCTATAGTATACAGTTTAAAGTGTTGCTGCATTAATGGATAATTAATTATGATATTAGAATCAATTAAACAAAAATATTTTTAATTATACAGGGGGAAGAAAAGTACGCTAGGTGGACTTTCCACAGACATTCAGCAAAAAAATTTAATTGATGGCATTTTTTTCACATAACATATTACAAGGCGTCACATGAAATAATATCATGTGCAAGATAACATACATTTAATGATGTTTTTGTTTTTATATTTTATGGTAATTTGTATTTTTTTTATTAAAATAAACAGGACGGTTTTTTAGCCTATTTTAGTTCTTAAAATTAAGGAATAGCTCATTTGAAGTGAGTTTGCCTTTATTTAAAGTAATTAGATAATTCTATATTCACCATTAATGTAAAAGTATCTTGATCTTACCTCGCTAAATAATTTCAAGGTTATTATCTTAATTCGGTTATTATCTTAATTCACTACATTTTATAACCTTTTTTTTTTTGTAGACACATTTTATAACTAATTTTATTTACTTAGGGCCCGTTTGGATAAGCTTTTTAAAAAATGACTTTTTATGCATTGCATTTTTTAAAATAACTTTTTAAAAGATAAAGTTATTTTACGTTTGGTTGTATGATCTGAAAATCACTTTTACATAAAAAAGTTGTTTGGATGTTAAAATAAAAAAAGCACTTTTTATATATAAAATTACAATAAAGGAGAGATAAAATAGCACGATCGTGGAATAAAGAGAGATAAAATAGATATGATAGGATAAGGTTAAAATTGTATTTTAAAAATTTATATTATCTTTTTTCCAAAAAAAAAATTTAAATTATCTTTTAATTTCTGTTTTTTTTCAAAAGCAACCAACTGCTGGCTATAAAAAAAAGCAGCATTTTAACTTTTACTTTAAATTTTTGATTTTTAAAAAGTTGTTATCCAAACATCTAAAAATTTTCAAAAGGACTTTTATTTTAAATAAAAGCAACTTTTTTAGGAATAAAAATCCATCCAAACGGGCACTTACTGTTTCTATCTTCCTTTTTATCCAAAAAAAAAAAAAACTTCATTTACTTACTTCATTGACAATGTCCCTTTAAAAGAGTATTTTCTTTGAAAGTTATAGGTGATATTAATTTATTCTTTCAAAGAAATTTAACATTAATTATAAAATTTCATAGATGTTATTTTTTAGGAAAAATATTTGTCATTTTAGGAGAGAGATAGACACAAAATAAATTTTTTTACTTAAAATTTAAATTAAAAAAATCACCCACTTTCTCTCTCCCATGATTTTTTTTTTATGTCTATCTCTCTCCTAAAATGACATAACTTATGTCATTTAAAATGACAAACACCAAACTCTATTTTTTATTATTGATTATTAAATTAATAATAATGTTATTAAGTTAATCTCATATGATTTTCAAATATTAAAACGAGTGTTTAATTATTATTATTTTTAAAAAAAAACGAAAATTTGTTTCACGCTATATGTAATCAAATGGCGTCAACTTGTAAAGGCGGACCTACAAAAACTGTCATCAACTTTGAAAGAAGATGCAGAATGGGACAGCAATAGAACAAAAGACAAACGCACCCCATGTAGTAAAATGTTGAGATGTCATCATTTGTTCTTCACCACAATTTTCATTTCAACTGGTCATCAATTATCTAATTAATCTGAATCCGAATCGAACACGATTAGACCTATTATAGGGAGACAGTTCTCCCAAAATCATTTTTGCTGAAGCTCAAATTCAAAACTTCTAATTAAGGAGAATAAACTCCTTATCACTTCAACCTTCAATCAGTGATTGTTGGTTCTTCCCATCAATTCCTGATTCTATGGTTTCCAACTTTCCAACCTTTTATAAATTTAGCCCTATTGAGATATGTAAAACCATTAATGTAGCTTCACCCAAAATTTGGGTTGATTTGATTCTTTACATGGTATCAGAGCCTCGTGTCCCGGATTCAATCCTCACTGCCCCCTACTTTCTTTCTAGTGGAATTTCTTTCTTCGCACAGATAGGTGGGCTTGTGCATTGTCCACCCTTTAAGCCCAGTTGCTTTCGTGTGAGGGAGCGTGTTAAGATATATTCACCCAAA